TCCCTAATGCTCTTCATTGTCTGTCTCCTCTCTCTGCAGCATGGACGGCTTCAGGCTGGTGAAGCTGAACGAAGTCATCAGACAAGTGGACATCGTCATCACCTGCACAGGTCTAGTTTGTCTTCGCTTGTCTCACGTGATCCACAGTAGAACCCTTTTGTTGCTGTATGTGAGAGGGTGGTGCGGGACGTGGAGCAGTTAGTCCCTCTGCCTCAGTACTCAGGCCTGGACACACTTTCACTCCACTGCAGTTACTTAATAGGCTCTTCAGCAACCAGGCGACCACTTTTATGAGGCAGAGAATTACTCGTGTCACCGCTTCATTACCGCTAGCTGCCCGCTGGTCGGACACGGTCGTCCGGGGGTAGGGCTGCACATCAAAGAGGACAAGAACAAAGTCCAGATCATTCTGATAAAGTCGTTTACTTAGGAAAAACCCTACGGCTATTTCTTAAGTGCCCTGTCTTTTCAGATAAAAGCTATCACTGAGCACTCCCCGCCCCACGACTTGGACACATTCACATATCTCTCTTCAGATCTCCACTGATCCTCTGTTTAAACCACTTTAATTCCTATGAAAGTGAGATTGTCATTAGACAACACACACACACACACACACACACACCTCTGCCAGAGCCAGCATAAATAAAGAACATTTAGATTAGTTCACTTTACTGTGCACCCCCATATTGATAGCTCCATGCCCCCCAACGGGACGCAACCCCCACTTAGGAACAAATGGTTTAACAGGACATTTACAGCTGTGCGGTGTGAGAGAGGGAACAGTCTAACTGGATTACACTGGGAGGATTTAATTAACGAGGCTCATGGGCCGCGATAAGAAATAATCACCATTATTAAACCCGTTCAATAAAAGACTTGTTTAATCCCAGGCTGATAAAATGCAGGTCACTACAAATAAGATGCCCTTGTAAACTGGACGTGTTGTTAATCTGTCTCTGAATCTTATCTGTTTCCTAATTTTCTATTTTCCTCTTTTGTTTGTTTGTTTTTTTATCTCCTTATCAGGCAATAAGAACGTGGTGGTGAGAGAGAACCTCGACCGCATGAAGAACGGCTGCATCGTCTGCAACATGGGTCACTCCAACACCGAGATTGATGTGGTCAGTGGCCGTCTTTCCTGAATCCCATTTGACGTATTTCTGTAAAAAACATTCTTTAACGCTGGTGCATTTACTGGTCTCTGTTTTGGTTTGACCCCAGAGGTGTTTCCTCAGAAGTCTAATTCAGACTGAATGTTATTTGTCCATTACCAGGCGTCTGTACCGGTGTCTGTTGTGTCTGTTGTTGTGATTGATGAGAAAAGAGTAAAGGATCGTCTTGTTTTATGTCCTTCGGTTGACATGTGCACCCTGATAAGAACAGAGCTTTTATCTGAAAGCGAGATAAATCAGGAGAAAACATTTACTGTACGTGGTGCACGTTGTTGACTTGCTCCTGGATCTGACCTTGGACAGTCAGGATTTAGTGTCGTAGTTACTGACAGTGACAGCAATTAAGTGGATTTTCTGGGAAAAGAAAAGCTAATTTAGTACAGCAGTGATTCCAAACCACTGTACCATCATCAGGTGCAGCATTTAAATGTATCACTTAACTGGTCTGGAAACTGGAATATTTATTTACTGGAAATATTTTTACTTTGATTGGCTGAGGCATAGTGACAGGCAGAACAATTAAAAACTTGTTCACAAGGTGGCAGCAAGTGGCTACAAAAACATCAGACAGAAAACCTCAGAGCCATGGAAGACCTTTGTGTGTCTTTCTTTAATTCCTGCGAGTTCATCAGTTGTATGTTCAACTAAGTAGGCTCAGGATTCGCAATGACTAAATTGTTAATAAATTGATAACTAGAATGTCATTACAGTTCATTACTTTTTAATGACGTTTTGGTTTGATTGTACACCATGGAGTTTTTTTAAATAAATTAAATATATTTTTAAATATGTGCTGTGGCTCAAAAAAGATTGGGATCCACTGCATTTAGAAAACACTGAAATGAAAAGCAGCGCTAAATGTTTATTTTAATATTTATTTACAGTTTGTTTAAAAACAAAAAGAACATACTGTATATCTATAAAGTGATGTTTTTACAAATGGAATGTAGTTGAAGCAGTTGCCAAAAAAACCCAACAGTAATTGTCAGTGTTGTTGTGTGATTGCCCCCTGCAGGCGAGCCTGAGGACTCCTGAGCTGACCTGGGAGAGAGTGCGCTCTCAGGTGGACCACGTCATCTGGCCCGATGGCAAGAGGATAGTGCTGCTGGCTGAGGTATGACCTGAAGTTGATTCATTTACATTTTTAGTTGTGTTGGCTGCTGTGCCTGTTATTCCACAGGCTGACCCAGGGGGTAAACAAGGCAATTGGTGATGGCAGATGTCGCCCCCTAGTGGGGCAGCGAAGAAATGCTCATTCTGCTTAGACAAAAATGTACATGAAAAGCATAAAAGGTAAAATGATAATAAGGGAAGAGTCAGGACTGAAAGGTTTACGGCACACATTGTTAAAAGATTCAAAGAAAACAACGTCCCCCAAATAATTAGACTGTTTTTTGACACTGAAAATCCTCTGAATCAAATCAATAAGATATCTTTTAATGACAATAATTGTCCTGTTCAAATAAAGAGTTGAGAGAGGCTTTAGGGGGCGAGGGGTTATCGTCCCAGCAGCCCCTGGGAGCTGCAGAGTCTTTTATTTGCACATTCTGGACATGCGTCTTTGTTTTCTGCAACCGAATTCACTGCAATGCAGCATTTCAGGCGACAGCAGGTTGAGATCCTGGAGAAACACAATACCATCTGTATGATCACATCTTCATGTACCAGATTATATAACACAGCAGCTGACGGAGAGAAGAAACCTTTCAATGTCAGAAGAAAGGACGTTTTCTTTTTATAATAAATTCCTCACATCAGTTTATTCCTGTAAAAACTGTAAAATACAACAGTGCAAATGAAATGATTATAGACATCTCAAACCTCTGGCCTGCGGGCCATTTCTGGCCTGGCACTGCAGCCTGTAGTTTGTCGTTTCAAATTCAAAAATGTATTTTTTACTGATCAAGTTTCTATCAAATATTTTTTTTAATTTTCTTTTTAATTTGTTTTGTTTTAATAAATTCTTCCTCTGCAGGGTCTTCTGTTGACCCTCAGCTGTCCCACCGTTCCCCCCTTTGTTCTCTCCATCCCAGCCACAACACAGGTAACTCACTTGTTCCACCGTTCCCACCTTTGTTCTCTCCATCACAGCCACAACACAGGTAACTCACTGTATACAACTTTGTCACAGTAAATGTGACTGATCATTTTTAATAAAACCAATCTTCTTACAGTTTTTATTTTTTTATTTTTTGGCTCACTCTCTAACCTTTTTTTGCAGGCTCTGGCTCTGATAGAGTTGTACAACGCTCCTGAGGGACGTTACAAGCAGGACGTTTACCTGCTGCCCAAAAAGATGGGTAAGACTGACTTTACTTTAAATAAAAATCTATAAAAATACAGTGGACCCCCGAGATACAAGTTTAATCTTTTCCACAACAACACTCGTATTTAGAACGAATTTCCCCATTAAAAATAACTAAAAACCAATTCATTTGTTCCAGCCCCTCAGAATTAATTAAATTACTCCACCATCTAAACATCAAAAACATAGATATAAACAAATATATTGATAATAAAAAATAAAAATAATTAAGAAAATCTTGCAAAAGCTGCTGACTCGTAACATGGAATACTCGTATTTCATACCTAGGGGGTTAACTGTTTTTGTTACAAAAACATTTTAAAAAATGAACATAAACTCTGTGTGGATTTTCTGGTTGCTGGGAAGAATCTAAACAGAAGAATGACATCTAAACAGGGAGGTTATTACTGAGAGCCTGCAGGAACACTACACTGTTACAAATGTATGTGACACAGAGTGTCAGGTGTGAAGACCAGTGTGGACACTGTGGAAAATGATTCACCCTGCAGTGAGTCCTGTCCTGTCACTGCCTGTACCGCAGCAGTGGCTGTAACACTCAGTGTGTGTGTCAGAGACACTGTTACCACATCAACACACACTGATGACAAGGAGTGAAAAATGAAGGAATAATTGTAAAGACAGGCGCAGATGAGGGAGTAGAAAAAAGGCGGTGGCCGACGACAGTGGAGAGATGGAGGAGGTGGTAAATCTCACAGCCTCCCTGGGGTTTTTTTGCCTCCTCCCTGATTTGAATCATTAATGAACCCCAGACGCCTGCTGAATATTAACACACTCTCCTTCTTTCCATCCCTGCAGATGAGTACGTGGCCAGCCTACATCTGCCCACATTTGATGCACATCTCACAGAGCTGACTGACGAGCAGGCCAAGTATCTGGGCCTGAACAAGAACGGACCCTTTAAACCAAACTACTACAGGTCAGGAGACAAACAGCATCACAGTTTGACTTAGAAATACTACACAACACTGCGTTATGATACTGTAAAATATCAGTCTAGTTGGTCAGGGCGCATGAACTGAGCCCATAACACCTTAGAAAAATAGATATGAAGAGGTCTAGATTTACATAGAGGACAGTGTTTTTCAACCTTAGGGTCACGTGCCCAATTAGGGTCACCTGGATTCCAAATGGGGTCACCTGAAATGTCTAGTAATTGATTAAAAAAATTCATTTAGAAATTTTTTTTTTAAAGTATCTGGCATCTTATTTACTAGTTACAGTCAAATGTCTTTGACTAAAAATCCACTGATTTCCTGCCGTATGATTGGCTGGTTAGTTAATTACATCATATAACATTTTAACAAACATACTTTCCCGGCAAAAACAACATCCATTTCTCATAAACGTCCTAAAGTGTCTTTTCACTGCTGATCAAATATCAGTACTTTAATTTAATTTTTTTTTTCTGTGTCTTTCAGGTATTAAAGCCGTACTGGCGTCGGACTGTGGAAACACCAAAACTCTGTAAATGGCACAGACTCTTTGAAGGGGACAGAACAGTCAACACACTTGCTTTATAATCTCGGGGAGGGACGGAGGGTGACGGGGGGGAGGAAGAGCTCCGGCTGAGCCTGAAGGCGACGGGTGTCGTGATCCTGTAACACTTACAGCAGCCGTTGTTTGTTTTTTTTTATCACACGTGCTCAAGAATAACAACAACAACAACAACAATAAAACCACCATCGTTACTTCACCGCCGTCACTCGTCACGACACCGTTATCTTTAAAACCCACATCTGTGTCGTGCTCCACGTCGACCCTTCGTCCTTCCTTCTTCATTGCCAGATTTTTTTATTGTTTAACTATTAAAGATGAAATTATTGATGCTGAAAAGATATATAAATACCATATAAAAAAAAGATTAAAAAAATCTGTGTGAACGAAGGTGACTCTTGAAGATTTAGGTGAGGACACTTTTTCCGGTTCTTTTTTTTTTGTTGTCAATGTCTTTTCTTGTGATTATGTTTTGGGGTGGGGTTGGAACCAGTGGGCGGGGCTTGGTGGGGTCTCAGGGTCCAATCATATCATGTCTTTTATTTCCTCCTTTCATCTGATTTGTAAACTCTGATGATTTTGGTCTCCTCCTCTGATCACCCTGATGTTCTCTTCTCTGTATCTTCTGTTCCAAGTTTAACTGGACGGTGGCGGATTTTCCCACTTGTCCCTCAAACTCACGATGAACCCATCTCATTGGCTTCCTCTCTTTCAGCTGCTCATGTCACGCCAGTGTTGAAGTAGTGAAAAGTATTCCAGAGGCGTTAAGACCTCGACAGGCAGATCTTTACACAGAGGTCATACTGTATATGTAGATATTTATATATGAATATAAAAACAACTTCTGATTCTTTTTCTATCCTTCTCTCTCCTCTGCATTGACTAAAAACCACAGCTTTTTTGGGGAGAAAAAAAAAGAATTTAAAGCAATTAAATGTTCTAATGAGTGTAATAAATGTACCTAAAACCTTGTTCTTAATACTGTGACGGAACATAATCCCTGAGAAACCAAAAGTGCAGCGAGGTGTTGCTAATCTGGTACTGAAGTGTTTTTTTTTAAATATCAATTTTAAAACGTGGATTCTTTGGTACTGACGTCGTTCTGAGTTTATCTAAATGTGAAAACCTAACGCCTGGATTTTAACTTTTTTTCCAGTCAAGAAACATGAAACTGTCTCTGTGCTTTTTGACTGTAAAGGGATTATTTTTTGTGTGCGTGCGATGCCAACATAGATTACAAAAGGGTAAGTCAAAAAGTTGTAAGATTGTTATAGAGAATTACAGTTAGAAGTTGTTCTAAAAAAAACATCTGAGCAGGCTTGGCGGAGGACAAATATAATTTTGGGCAGTGGTGTGTTTTGACACATTGACAATACTGTACAAAATACAAATAATAGTTTTAGTTTAACTTCAAAAATATTTTTAGGTCACATCATCTGGGCGGAACCCAGACATTCCGTTAACGGGTTTTTGTTATCGGAGGAAAAAACCGATAACGATTCTTACCGATATTACATAATTAAGCTAATATCGGTTGGCCGATAATATCGAACATACCTCTTTGTAAGTAAACTTGATTTGAAGGCTGTTTAAATAACGAATGTACACAAGATGTGGTGATCTTTTAATTTCATCCTTAAACTGGAAAAAAAAACCCATCTAAATTTAAGTTCTCAGTTAATATTATTTTCCCTAAAATGTTTGTCTCAGAACCTTTTGACTTACCCCGGTATCCTCTCCCTCCCTGAAAGGTTCAGATTGATTTTTTTACAGCGAGCCACGCGTTTGTGTAAACCCTCAGCTGGGCTCATCCCCAGCTGACCTGAAAGTGGAAATGAGAAAATCCTGACAGTTATTCCAGCCGACAGCAGCGAGCAGCTCTGACTGCACCTGAGCCAATCAGAGTCCGTGTCAGCCTGCTGGGAAAAAGAACTGCTGCTCGCTCTGCTGTCCTAGAATAGAATCAGATCAGGTTTAGAAAAAAAAAAAGAGAAAAGATGTTGTGTTTATGGAGGGATAATGGCACAAAAATCCAGTTTAGTAACAAATTTCATTCTGTGTGACGCTAAGATTGACATTTATTTTCAGCTTCGGTCCATTTCATGTTGCAGTGAATGGCAGGACTTGATTGCTCTGTTAACGTGGGTTTTGTTATAACAAGATGACATTTGGATTTTTTTTTTAACCTAAAAAACTGCCTCGAAGTTTTTTGCTGCCTCTGTGTTTGTCCAAACTGCAGGTTGTTCATGAAAAAGGGACAAATTTTTGTTTAATTGTATTGAATGTAAAAAAATTAATTCTGTTAGTTAGGTCTTTGAATTCTGAAGAAAAAACACGTTAAAAAAGTCAAACATCTCATTTCTTTAAATGTTTAAAAAAAAAATTGGAAAAACTTTTTAAAGTTAGGTAAAATGTGTTAGTCTCTCAGTGCCACCATTCGACATGGAGACTGGGCTAATTCTTCACTCTCCGGCTAAATCTGCTGATATTTATGCTACATCAGTAGCTAATTAGCTTAGCATATGGATTGAAGCCTAGTGGAGGATCTGTGGTGCAACAACAGGTTATACGTATATTGATGAAACAGCTCAACCTTTCTGTCAAATGAAAGTGTTTTACCTACTTTTTTTCTTACATCAATAAGGGCTTTTTAAGAATTTTTTTTTAGTTTGTTAGCACAACAAGACTGCGTTCAGAAACATTTACAGCCATAAGGCCCAGCTACACCTGTCAAGCACAAACTATCATGGACAGCAGTGCTGTGTTAAAGCTTCAATGATAAGACATAAAGTCCAACACTGTATCTAAGCTAACACTTGTCTCTCAGTTGGCCCCAGGCGAAAAGTGATTTTTTTTTTGTTTTGTTTTTTGCTTGTTTGGATTAGATTTCAAGTGTTAATCTTTTTTTTTTCTTTGGACATTTCTGAATTCTGCTTCAGTCAAGAACCACACATAAGGGTATGAACGCATGTGAAATTTTAAAATGTCAAGACATCGTTTCCAGAACCACTACCTTCAATCTGTATGCTAACAAGTTGGGTTAAAAAAAAAAAAAAAATAGATAGACAAATAGTTCTGAAATGTGGCTCTTTTGTGAAGACCCCAACACTGTCCTCTGCCAATGTGTCTCACCTGTGTGTCTGACCTTTGACCTCGTTTTAACTGTCGCCAATGTAGTCCCTGAGTCTTACTTGAGTGTGAAGTATGTGTTTGTTTATGGAAGCAGAGGTGTGTGTGTGTGTGTGTGTCCATCCCGTCTTGCTTCTTAACAGATGCCTCAGGATTCCTGCTTGGGTAAAGAAGGGGGAAAAAACCCTTGTTTTTTTTCTTTTTTTTTGTCACTTGTCAGCTGACGTGGGTGGGCGGGGTAGACACCAGCATCATATACTGTATGTATATGCATATTATATACAGATATGACAACTTTTCAAAATATAGGAAGGTTTAAAAAGAAAAAAAAGGAAAAAAAAATCAACTGTATTTATTGTTGTAAATCCTCGTTCAAACCAAGACTGACAAAGATCACACACCTGTTTGAAGTTGTCTAATGAAGAAAAAGAGAAACCCTTATGTTTAAATATGGATAGTGACAGTAGAAAATCATGAGCAATAATTAAAAAAAATGTAATCTTAATGAATAAAGATGTAAAAAAAAGCCACTTTTGTGTGTTGTTTTACTGTAATAATGCAAATTATTTAAAACACAATTCCCTGTTTCACTTTTGTTAATGACGCTGTAACAGTAATAGCAGGAATTGTTGACATTTTTAACATTTTGGAAGGTTTTATTGCATAATTCGTGTACCAGATTTACATGTGACACAAAGACTTTTTTCAACTTTTTACAGTGTGACCACGCTGGTTCAAAAACATTTGGGTTTTCCAAATTGATTATCCTACATGCCACTAGAGGGAGCCCTTGCACCACCACTGTTATGTGTACCATAGTTTGAGAAACACTGCATCAAGTTGCATTTTTATTGACTTTTTTCTCTCCTTGTTTTGTAATACAAGGTTCTCAATCTACGGTAGGTGTACCACTGGTGGCACTGGCGTCCCCATAGAAGAGGTTCTACAGTGAAGGATCAGTAAGTATAAACTTAACAGAAATTCTAGATTTATTAAAGAAATGAAATAAGTGTCAGATTCAGCTGCGTTTTTTTGTGTTGTTGTTGTGTGTCTGTGCATGTGTGTTTGTGTGCAGCTGCTCCTAGGGCCTGTCAGGAACACAATGAGCTCATGAGCGTTGTTGGTTGACAGGGACGTCTCCGTCGTTCACAGACTTCAGCTGTGAGCGGCCATTTGTTCCCCACTCTCTGGAAACTAAATGTTCTCTATGTGGTGGTTAAATTATAACAAAGGCAAATACTGTACAAGAGGTCGCCAACCTGATATAATGTAAAACATAATAATAGCAGACCAAAAAAAACCTTTTAAAAAACATTTACAGTCCATAAAAACTAATAAAATCCCTTTAAGAAACAGGCTTATAAAATCCTAATTGAGTAGTAAATACAGCAAAAATATCTTATATCTAAGTTACTCTACGTTGTAACACATAGTTAGCCTAAAATTTTACATTCATTTGATTATTGATTATTGAAAATAACCTAATAAAATACCGGGCAGAAAGGCTGTGGTACACGTCCACCACCTTCACTTCCCGCTGTCAGCTGATGCTCCTGCTGCTGCAGCTGCTGTCATCATGACTCTAACCCCGCCCACTCGGGACACACGGGGACAGCGAATCACATAGACCTGTGCTGGTTGGGTTAGAAAAAGGAAGGAGGGAGGGACAGGAGGAGGTGGAGATCCTCAACTTGTGCTCGGGTCGGAGCGGCTGCTCCAGCCTCCTGCCTGTGCTCCTGGTGAGGACGCTGCGGTGAGTGTGTGTGTAAGAACGTGGTGTGTTCCGTGCGTGTGATCGCACAGAGTGACCGAAGATGGAGGAGATGGAGGTTCCAATCATTAACAACCTCAACGACGACAGACTGAGGCCGAGGGGCAAAGATGCGTTCAAGGATCAGCAAAAGGAGTCCGAGGTAAATCCTTGAGGCGTTCGGGTTTGTGTGCCGGTGGAGGTGTGTGTGTGTGTGTGTTGTTGCTGGGAAGCTTTGGGGAACAGCCGAATGTCCTCTACATGCATTCAAAGTGTGTGTGTGTGAAGCATGCACACAGACATGCAGACAGACAGTGAAGAGGTTATTTTAGAAGCAGCTCCTATAAATAACCTGCAGCAGTGGCAGTGGCAGCAGCAGCGGCAGCAGCAGCAGTTTGATGCTACACTGCCCTGCACTGTAATGTGACCACCAGACCAGGACTGCAGTGATTAGTCGATTAATCTCTGACTGAATTAGCTCTCATCAATGAACAGAGATTGTGTGAAATTGAGAGAGCATGAAAATGTCCATTAAATTAAAAACTAAAACAGAATGAATAGTACGTTTTTTGCCGATATCCGATATGCCGAAATTGTCCAAAATTAACCGTTACAGATATAGTTACAGTTGTGGGTTGGTGGTTAAGGAAGTTCTCACTAAGGTGATGGGTTAAAGCCGATATTATGGGTCTGCCGATGTTATCACATTCCTAAACCCTGTCATTTTATTGGACATGACAGTGTAGTTGTGTTTATTCACCTACAGTTTCTGTTTCTATTTTGTTGTTTTGTTTTGTTTTGTTTCTGGTCTCGTTTTTATTTGTTTACTGGAGACAACAGAGCCCAAAGAGGAAAAAGTGAGGTTTGAGGAGAGGGTCAACATCAACATCACCACTGGGGGGTGGTCACTGTTAAAACATTTATATTACTTTGTAATTGTGTAATTGGTGACTTAAAACACACATTTCTAATCGTTATCCTTCTTTATTTAACTCTTCTTGTCAAATTAAATACAAGATAGAATTTGATTGACATCTCCAAACCAAGCTGCGTTTGCTGTAGCTCGTTGTTGTTGTTTTTTATAGGCCTGAAGTGGCTCAGTGGTTGGGTTCCCGCCTGCTATGGAGAAAGTTTTGGGTTTGATTTCATTTCACCCCAGTCTCAGGTTGAGTTGCATCCGGCATAAAATTGTGCTTAATCACTATGCTGACTGTACTGGCGTGAATAGAGCAGAAGGTGACTCCAAACTGATGCTTCTCAGACGCATAACGGTTACCATAACACCAGGGTGTCTGCTCCGTCTGACCATCAGTTTGAGGCTCCTGGACCTAAAAAAACAAACTTTAAAGACCCCTTCTTGTGAGTACTGTAATTATAAGCTCTAAAAACTGCTCTAAAATGTCATTTTTAGCCATTTCCAAATCACCATTCTCAGTCTTTATCGTACTTTAGCCGTTAGCTTAGCCTGAATTTCACCCAAGTCTCACAACTTTGACTTTTTTTTGGCGGGTTTTATGATTAATTCACAGTTACCCCTGTGATTAATATAATTAAAGGTGTTTATAGCTTTCTATTTATGATTTAATATAATAATTTAAAAGAGTCCAGTCAGACAATTAAGTAACTAATTTAGTTGCTAAAATTAGCAGTGTCGTGCCTTTAGCCAAGAGACGCTGATTTCATGGACCAACGACTGATGGGCTAATGGTGGGACTAATTAGCGCATTAATCAGTCATTTATTCTCTAAATAACAGTCTCTCACCTGTGCGAATCAGTTAAGTGTTTGCAGCAGCGAGTGTGTGTGTCCGTGGGTGTACAGTATGTGTGTTTTCCATGTGGCCGCTGTCATTTGGAGTGTTGCTCTTTGACAGCCTGCCCAGTGTTTGCACACCGAGTGAAGCCGTGTTTGCCGCCGTCAACGCGGCTTAGACTCGGCAGCAGTGGGGAGAGAAGAGGGGGAAGAGGCTGATGCTGTGGCCGGAGTGTGATATGATGATGTGAGAGGATGAAATACATTTTTTTTTAATTTAATTTAAGACAGAGAATTATATGTGTGTGTTGATGTCCCAGGAGAATTCTAACAGACATTTGCGCTGGTTTCAGCGCAGCGGTCAGTGAAGCGTCCTGAAAAGACTCGAGGCTTTTAATTAAACCTTTCAAGGCTGAGGCGGAACGGTCCATTGATCCACCAGACAGCATTAATAGCCTGATAATCAGCCACTTGCCTCAGTCTCTTGGTCAGAGAGACTGTCTGGTGCTGAACCTTCTCCTCTGCTCCGTCTCTTTGTTGTTTGTCATCAAGCAGCGGTTGAAAGAGTCGTTGCGTTCAAAGTCCGCTCTGAAATTTAACACTTTCTTCCCCCCCTTGTTAAAAAAAGTGGATTCATCATTTGTGGAATAACATGACATGACATTAGAACTCGACAATAATTCTCTGTTCTTGGTATTTTTGCGTTGATTTGCCCCATGTACGAAGGAACATATAAGGATACTATATTTATAAAACGTCTCTATCGAGTATTTATATTTCCTGTACTTTTATAAAGAAACTGTGTATTATTGCCAAATAAATACTGACACAGTTTTCGCACCGGATGCTGGAATAAAACACTGTCGCTGACGAAAAATAAAGTGACAAAATAGAAGTAAAAATAGAACTACTGAAATGAAGAAGAACAAGAAGACAAGAAAAAACAAGAAATTGAAAAAGAAAAAGTAATAGTAGAAGAAGAAATGAAAGAAGTGGAAAGTAGTAGTAGAAGAAGAAACTGAAGGAAAAAAGAGACATTAAAATGGAAAGAGAGATGTCGAAGAAATAGAAATAAAAATGATAGGAATACTTCAATAAAGAATAACATTAGTTGAGGAATCACCGCAGTAATGTTATTAATATATAAAATTGAGTCTGATTTTCTTAACCCTCACCTAGAATTGTGGGTAATCATTTAATCTTCCCTGCTCCCCAGTGTGTTTTTTTACTTCCTGGTTTGCATGAGCACTAATGACATAAAATGACTTTTCTAGGGCCGGGCCTCATAAACAAAGTGTGTGTGATGTTTGAGCGTCTGCTGACTCTGTCAGCAGCAGTTATTTATTTTTAGGAGACGACGGGAGACGTGAAAGCAGACGGCGGTTATTTGACCAGGATCGCTGAGTCACAGCACATCCTTATTTACTGTTCAGAGCCGGTTCCACTGGGTTTTGGAGTGGAACACGTGTGTCCTGTTCTTTAGCCCGGAGCCTTCCATTTCAGTTCTCTCGTTCTCATTAACGTGAGATGAATCTTTAATTATCCTGGAAAGGGAATTTAATTAGTTTGCACTGGGATTAAACCAAGAGTTTCTTCAGTCCACCTGCTGTTCCTGTCAGGTACAGTAGTGGTCATCAGTGTGTCGTTTTGATATGGTTTCCATTGTTTTATTTACTCAGCCTTCTGTTATATGTGGGTTTTTTTTTTCATCTGAGACAGTGAATGTAAGTCAGAAGGACATACAGTCATTTTAAGACAAATGTTATAATAAATCAACAAAAGCAGTTTGATTTTTGTTTGGGATGTTCGATAATATCAGCCGACTGATATTATAGGCCTGATATTAGCATAATTATGTAATATCTGTAAGAATTGTTATCGGTTTTCCCCGATAACACAATGCAATATATTAAAGTGAAAGTAAATTACACAAAAGGTTTTAGGGATAAACATCTGTATATTAAAGTGAAAGTCACTAGATGGCAGCATCGCAGCTCATTTAATTAATCTATTTTAATAATCAGGGGATTGTGTGCAGAATCCTGGTGTCAGCAGCATTGGTTGCAGTGGTTTGTACAGATAAACAAATATTACCAGGTCTATATCGGTATCGGTTGATATCGGAATTGGAAATTAGGTCTTTGGGCAATATTGGCATATCGGATATAGGCAAAAAGTTAATATCGGACATCCTTAATTTTAATAAACAAAACATATTTACTCGGGTTTGACAGGTTTTTATCTCTACATTGTTGTCAAACTGTCAGTTATTTAATCAGGATATTTGGCCAATAGGAAAGGGAAAGTTTGACCCAAATTAATGAACATTTGAAGAGTTAAAAGGAACTTCATTTCAGGTCTTAGACACAGGCAGATAAGCCCGTTATGACCCAGTGTGGAAGACATGCCGCAGAATTCCATGAGGAGGAATTCTCTGATGGAAATAGAACCAGTGCTTCTAGAAGTGTTCGCACTTCATCGTGACCCCTGGTATAGAGTACTCACATGTTTGTTTCCTTCATGTTCACAGAGCTCCATGGACTCACCCAATCTGGAGTTCGAGTATGGAGACACGGACCATCTCACAGCAGAGCTGTCAGGTACAGTACCACTCAACCACCACACCCTGTCGGTACATCTGACTGTTTGCAGCTCTGTCAGTAAACAAACTGCTGTTGACTTTTTTAAGGTCAACGTTTATGTCTTAAAGAACTCATTCTAACACATTTACATTTTAACATCACACTGACTGAAATAATCTGACAGTGACGTGCATATAAATAATCAATAATTATTAAAAAAATGTACACGAATATAGAGTATAGAATATGACCAATGATAATATCAAATGGCTCCATCATTGGCGTATTTGCTAACACTGATGTTTTATACAAACGCCCAGGGAGGCATAAATCAATTACCAACGGAATGACGGAGTGTCTGACTGACTTAGTTTGTTCGCAGCCAACAGATGTGCAGAGAATCACTGAATGCCAACATTGATTGAAAGTCAAAATGATTGACCCGTTTGTTGGAGATTTGCCAACAGTGTTGGCTAACATCACGGTCCAGACGGACGTTGTAGCTACAGCTCCCCTGAGAAAGTGTAGGGAGAGTGTCGAGTTATCAACACAGATCAGACGCACATTTACGAGACGTTTTCAAATCATGTTGTGGTTGTTTTATATATCTAGTAGAAGGTGTATACTTACTGGATCAGACAGAAAAAAAAAGCTTTTAGTTGATATATTCACTGTAATTTTCTGTTAATAAATGGTTTGAATTCTTTAATTACTTTAACATTTATATTAATGTAAAAGAAAAAAAAAGAAAAATAAAAGCCAAGCATCTTAAGCAGGATTAGATTCTCATGAGTTGTCTGCTAATTTAAAGAGTCTGTTTCTTTGCAACTAGGAATTCATCCCTATCAGAGCTACAGCTCATATTTTTCCTAACTTTTCTTTTTTTAACAGAGCTCTACAGTTACACAGAGGAGCCGGAGTTTGCACTCAACAGAGACTATTTTGAAGAGGACTTCAGGAGCCACGGTAATGTGCCGTGGGGTGTGTGTGTGTTATCTCCTGTATCAGACTCTCAGGAGTCCACGGTCTGCTGACAGTCCAGTGGTTCTGCCTGTTGCTGCCTCTTGTTGCCTGTTTATCTCTGAGACCTGAACTAAAGGTCAAGAGTGTGACCTTTGCTGACTGACACCAGACTGAAGCTGGAGACGTGCAGTACTGCACTGATCCTGGTTTTTTTTATCGTTTTGCCACTCCAGTCATCTTCTGATCCTTCTCTCTGATTCCGATCACTGGTCGGTGGATCATTCATCTCTACAGTCAACCACTGACAGCCATGTGCATCTCTGTATTTGCCCAGGTTGACTGATGTTGCCCTTTATCTTAAACGTCCTTCTGGTGCTGAGTGGAAATAAATAACAGGGTTAGACTCCGAGCTGCGGCTGCTGCTTTCACTCAGATAGAACACACAGCTCCTTCTGTGCACTTCAGCCTTTCCATTAGTGTGTCCTTATTTATGGTGTGTGTCTTCAGTTGACTGTCAGACTGTGGGTTTTTCCTGATCGGCCTTTGAGAGCAGGAGCAGTAAATATCACCACCACTGACAGTTTGATCCTCTGTGTCTGTCGCCCCCTACCTCTGATGACATAAATTATGGTGATTATCATCACCACATCGTCTAATTAAACACAGGGGGCGGAGAGACGCTGGGATTAAAAGTTTAATTTTTCTCTTCCTCCTGTCAAGAGTTTCCTGAATTCATGATTTCAAACAACAGTATGTTGACAGTAGAAAACTTCCTGACATTTACAAGAGTATCGTGTTTTCCGGACAATAAGTCGCTCCGGAATATTTGTATAAGTGGCAAACCCAGTCAAAGGATGAAAAAAAGTGTGACTTATGGTCTGGAAAATATGGTAATAATATCTGCACGATATTAGCATAAATATGTAATAGCTGTAAGAATCGTTAACGTTTATTCCTTCGATAATGATAACCCAATAATGCATTGCCTTGGTTTCCCCAAATAACCTGGAATTGCTTGTGGGATATTGGCAAAAAGTTATTATTGTACATCTCTAGTTAGAACATTCTGAGATGGTTTGCTCTGTGCAGCCCGAGGCAGGAGGTGGATTGAGCTGACTGTGGAGGAGCAGAGGGCGTACGTGATGAGGCTGCTGGACGCTCTGGAGGTGACCGACAGAGACAAGAGGCTGAAGGTGGCCCGAGCCATCCTCTACCTGGCTCAGGGTGAGTGGAGTCTGAAGACAGAACTGACTAGAAGAGTCTTTTTCTTCTGCAGCTGAGTCACAGGCTCTTCAGCCCACACATTAATCAAAAAGGATAGAAAAAAAAAATATAAAACTCATTAAAAAAAAACTATAAAACTGCATAGTTAACAGAAAGTGAGCAGAGTTTTAACACTGATACCACATTTAAATTCAGTGTCTGGTGAACTGTAGTGAGACATTGAACTGTATTGGGAAAAGTTTTCAAGTACGAGTATTTGATGACATATCTGGTGTCGTTAGCCGTGCACCCCTGATTTTTACGATTCATTTTACACTGTAACTGAAACTGGCATCTAAAACTGAATCTTGTGTATTGGCTTGTATATTCTGTGTATTTTATTCACGTTATCTTAATAAAGTTCACTTAATTATTATATAATTAATTTAAAAATATTTAACATATATTTTAAATTGAAAAATATATGTTTATATAATATATATATATATATATATATACATACATAAAAATATATGTTTTTTTCCATACCCAGGAGTGTTTGACGAGTGTGACACCGAGGTGGACGTGCTCCACTGGTCCAGACACAACGTCTTTCTGCTCTACGACATGGGCATTTTCACCGCCCTGCTGGAGCTGCTCAGCATGGAGATCGAGTGAGTGGGCGTCCGTAAACACACTGGAGAGATGAGTCACTGAACGCGTTCTTTCTACGCCGGCTGAGATAAACAGACAGATGCAGAAGTGACATCAGCTGCTAAAAAAAAAACTACAACACATTAGATCAGTGTGAAAGTGACTCAGCTCCTCTGCCCTGTGCTGCCCTTCTATAAATGGTGTCTACTATCAGACGTGTGGGCTTTAGATTTGATACTACAATAAATGAGAAAAATGAATGTTGGGTTTGTCCAGAACCACAAGACAAAAAGTGGAAAAACAAGAATTTAGGTGAGGAGTTGAAGCTGAACTTTATGACGAACACATCTGAAAACTAGGAGCAAACCTCGTTATTTGAAAAAAAATTAAGCAAAAATCATAGAACGTTTCATCATTTTTATGTGTTGACAGTACACTCTTTGCTGTCCTTGTCTGCCCTGCATGTATTATGTATTGCGATAGCGATAATTATTGTTGTTTGACTTGTGCATGTGTGTGTGTGTACACAGCAACAGTCAGGCCTGCAGCAGTGCTGTCAGGAAACCTGCCATCTCTCTTGCAGACAGCACAGAGCTCAGGTGAGAAACCTCATTTTGTTCTGCATCACATACAGAAAAAAAAGCAACAGATAAAAAAACAAAACAAAAAAAACCCAGAATAATTTAATATAATTTTCGTTAGTGATGTCCGATAATATCGGCCCGAATTAGCTTAATTATCTAATATTTGTAAAAATTTGGTTTTTCTACTGATAATGAAAGCCCAATAGTGCAATGCTTGGGTTTATCCCAGATGATGTGACCTAAACATAGTTTTGAAGTTTTGAAATTGAAACTATTGTATATTGTATTGTGCACAGTATTGTCATGGTAGCACAGTACACTGCTACACACAATAAAAATGTGTACTCTCCCTTTAACTCAAACGGCTGCATATATATCAGTATCTGTGGATTTCGGAATCGGAAATTGTGCGAAAAAGTGTTTGGACCAAAACGGCCAAAATTTAGCATCGGACATCTGTAATTTTTATGCTTTGCGTTATGTTACATGCCAAATGCATGGTATATATACATATATATGTATATGTGTGTATATATATATATATGTCCATATATAGAGTGATATGTGTGTGTCTATATAAGTATTTATGAGTGTGGATATTGATATCTGGATATATATATTTATGTACATATATACTGTATATATGTAGATGTAGTTTATAGACAGACTTCATACGCAGTACTTTACTAATATTTATTTTCTTAATGTTGAAATAAAAATATTTCATAGTTTAATTCTGTTCTTTGTTACTCTTCCACACAATCATTTTTAAGTCTAAATATAACAAAAAAAATAATTTATTGTGATTTATAAAGCGCCCTTACACACAGACACACACACACTCTCTGCCACACACACACTCCTAATCACCATCTGTGCTTCTCCCCTGATGAACTGATTACGAATGATTACAGCCTAGAGAAGGAGATATTTCTTCATTTAATTTGCTGATAAAAAAAAAAAAACCCTTTGTACTGGCTTTCACAAAGTGAAGTGTTAAATTTGGAAAACACCACCTGGATAATGGGATAATTGGGAGTGGAGGTTCCATTACCAGGCAGAGCCCAGCAAATGGTTCCTCCTACTGTAACAGGCAGCAGCAGCGTGAGTGAGTGTATAAATGAAGTACTTTTACATTTAGTACTACTCACCATCTCCTCCATCAGGCTGTTTTCCTTTGCACTCTGACACACAAATACACCATCAAGTATGTGAGTGTGTTTTTGTTTTAATTCCAGAGTCTTACTGAGCATCATGTACCTGATGGTGGAGACCATTAGAGTTCAAACTGAGGACGACCGGCCCGAGTGGACGGCAGCCAGAGAGGCGTTCAAGGCCGAGTTAGGTGCGTGTCCTTCACTTCCTTGTTTCTTTTACAGTTGTTGTTACTGAGTGTATTCAAGCCGCGGTCTTCCCAGGTTCACCTCTGTACAACGGAGAACCCTTTGCCCTGCTGCTCTTCACCATGGTGACCAAGTTCTGCAGCATGAACGCCCCACACTTCCCCATGAAGAAGGTGCTGCTGCTGCTCTGGAAGACCATACTGGTGAGTGCATCACAGGCCTGAGGAATTTATAGGAAAATGTCAGTCAAGTATGTTGCTAACAGATTTTGGCTTGTTGAGCTACAACGACGTTACCTACATTTTTTGAGCCACAAAAAATATATATCATTAAATGTGATGATCTTCTACTTTCAATTCTACAGTAGAGCTATCTGATTTTTTTTCCTTTACCCAAAACTGAAATAGTAATAAAAAAGGAACATTTTAGTCCGTTAACCAGTGATTGTCAACATGCGGCCCGTGGACCGAATCTAGCCCGCCAAACTGTCCAATCCGGACCATGACAGGGTTTTAAAATATACATCAAATAATAATATTGCACAGAAATTTTGATTTTTATTTAATTATATTTGTGTTTAAAAAATTTAAATATTTATACTAGAAATTAGCTACATTTTGGCGCCCACAAATATCTGATAGAATCAAACATGTCTGGTCTCTCCAGTTCACCTTGGGAGGGTTCGAGGAGCTGCAGGAGATGAAGATCCGGGGCCGCGAGCGCCACAGTCTCCCTCCGCTGCCCGAGGACAGCATCAAGGTGGTCAGAGCCATGAGGGCAGCCTCGCCGCCGGCCTCTGCCATGGAGCTCATTGAGCAGCAGCAGCAGCAGAAGAGAGGCCGCCGCAGCCGTAGGGTACAAACGTCCTCCTCTGTCCACACAGACACGCTCTCAGTCAGAACACTAGTGTCGACAGATGAGTCTAAATTTAGTCAGTACTGAGTATAAGTCGCACCAGTGCCCTCTAGTGGATGTCAGTGTGAAAATAACCAATGTGTAAATATTCAGTGGTACCGGAGTAGCACAGCCTGGTACACAAACCTAGAGTGTCCTCTAGCTGCTGTCAGTGTGAAAATAACAAAGGTGAAATTTTATATTTTAATATATAAGTCGCACCTGAGTATAAGTCGCAAACCCAACTTATAGTCCGGAAAATTTGGCACTTCAATTTGACTGCTGTCTATATCTGAGTAATCAGGAATTGTGATTGACTCTTTATTGTTACACATATACATTTTTTTCCTTAGCTTGTTGCTATGTGCTTCAAACAGACTCATGCTAACTAGATGTGAGCACGATGTACAAAACAATCAGGAACCATGTCGGTTCGAAACCAAGACGTAAGAATGAGTCTGAGATGAGACTAAAGTGTGTTTGCTAGCTTTAACCTTCTCATATTAACTGACCCATATTACTAACATAGTCTTTCTGTTCTCCACCACAATTCATTGATCCATAATTTGCCTCTTTTTTTTTTTAAATCATTCAACAGCTTTACCCTATTCCTCGGTAAAGTGGAATTTTGTTTTTGATTCTATAACTGTTCCTGGGTCTGATTTTCCAGCTGTCAATCCAAAATCATCCCTCGGCTGCTGTCACTCAGCCTCAGTGGATGATCTTGGTTCTGGGATCCACCGGAGAATCCCAGCCTCCTCATAGAAAACGGATAGACTCTCTCTCTCTGTCTCTCTTTCTCTCTCTGTCTCTCTCTCTGTCTCTGTGTCTTTTTCTCCCTAACTGTCCTGTGGTGTCTCATTGCCCGTCTTCCTTGTGTCCCCACAGAGTGCCTTTGTTGATAGCTTGGAAGGAGACAGTCCCTTTCCCAAGAAGCAGGTCTTTACCCACAAGTTCCCACTTTTCCTTCTGCATCGAGCTGGCACTTTATTTGCACCCACTCCTTCCTTCCCTCTCTCTATCTCTCTCTCTCTCCCTCCCACACCTCTTTCCTCCTCCTCTTTGCTGTTTACCTTTTTCACCCTTGCCCCTCCTCCTCCCCCGCCTCCCCCCCCCCCCTTCCCTCTCCCCTCCCCTCCTTTTTTACCCCCTATCCCCCCCCCTGTGTGCCCATTGTGCGAAAAAGTGTTTGGACCAAAACGGCCAAAATTTAGCATCGGACATCTGTAATTTTTATGCTTTGCGTTATGTTACATGCCAAATGCATGGTATATATACATATATATGTATATGTGTGTATATATATATATATGTCCATATATAGAGTGATATGTGTGTGTCTATATAAGTATTTATGAGTGTGGATATTGATATCTGGATATATATATTTATGTACATATATACTGTATATATGTAGATGTAGTTTATAGACAGACTTCATACGCAGTACTTTACTAATATTTATTTTCTTAATGTTGAAATAAAAATATTTCATAGTTTAATTCTGTTCTTTGTTACTCTTCCACACAATCATTTTTAAGTCTAAATATAACAAAAAAAATAATTTATTGTGATTTATAAAGCGCCCTTACACACAGACACACACACACTCTCTGCCACACACACACTCCTAATCACCATCTGTGCTTCTCCCCTGATGAACTGATTACGAATGATTACAGCCTAGAGAAGGAGATATTTCTTCATTTAATTTGCTGATAAAAAAAAAAAAACCCTTTGTACTGGCTTTCACAAAGTGAAGTGTTAAATTTGGAAAACACCACCTGGATAATGGGATAATTGGGAGTGGAGGTTCCATTACCAGGCAGAGCCCAGCAAATGGTTCCTCCTACTGTAACAGGCAGCAGCAGCGTGAGTGAGTGTATAAATGAAGTACTTTTACATTTAGTACTACTCACCATCTCCTCCATCAGGCTGTTTTCCTTTGCACTCTGACACACAAATACACCATCAAGTATGTGAGTGTGTTTTTGTTTTAATTCCAGAGTCTTACTGAGCATCATGTACCTGATGGTGGAGACCATTAGAGTTCAAACTGAGGACGACCGGCCCGAGTGGACGGCAGCCAGAGAGGCGTTCAAGGCCGAGTTAGGTGCGTGTCCTTCACTTCCTTGTTTCTTTTACAGTTGTTGTTACTGAGTGTATTCAAGCCGCGGTCTTCCCAGGTTCACCTCTGTACAACGGAGAACCCTTTGCCCTGCTGCTCTTCACCATGGTGACCAAGTTCTGCAGCATGAACGCCCCACACTTCCCCATGAAGAAGGTGCTGCTGCTGCTCTGGAAGACCATACTGGTGAGTGCATCACAGGCCTGAGGAATTTATAGGAAAATGTCAGTCAAGTATGTTGCTAACAGATTTTGGCTTGTTGAGCTACAACGACGTTACCTACATTTTTTGAGCCACAAAAAATATATATCATTAAATGTGATGATCTTCTACTTTCAATTCTACAGTAGAGCTATCTGATTTTTTTTCCTTTACCCAAAACTGAAATAGTAATAAAAAAGGAACATTTTAGTCCGTTAACCAGTGATTGTCAACATGCGGCCCGTGGACCGAATCTAGCCCGCCAAACTGTCCAATCCGGACCATGACAGGGTTTTAAAATATACATCAAATAATAATATTGCACAGAAATTTTGATTTTTATTTAATTATATTTGTGTTTAAAAAATTTAAATATTTATACTAGAAATTAGCTACATTTTGGCGCCCACAAATATCTGATAGAATCAAACATGTCTGGTCTCTCCAGTTCACCTTGGGAGGGTTCGAGGAGCTGCAGGAGATGAAGATCCGGGGCCGCGAGCGCCACAGTCTCCCTCCGCTGCCCGAGGACAGCATCAAGGTGGTCAGAGCCATGAGGGCAGCCTCGCCGCCGGCCTCTGCCATGGAGCTCATTGAGCAGCAGCAGCAGCAGAAGAGAGGCCGCCGCAGCCGTAGGGTACAAACGTCCTCCTCTGTCCACACAGACACGCTCTCAGTCAGAACACTAGTGTCGACAGATGAGTCTAAATTTAGTCAGTACTGAGTATAAGTCGCACCAGTGCCCTCTAGTGGATGTCAGTGTGAAAATAACCAATGTGTAAATATTCAGTGGTACAGGAGTAGCAGAGCCTGGTACACAAACCTAGAGTGTCCTCTAGCTGCTGTCAGTGTGAAAATAACAAAGGTGAAATTTTATATTTTAATATATAAGTCGCACCTGAGTATAAGTCGCAAACCCAACTTATAGTCCGGAAAATTTGGCACTTCAATTTGACTGCTGTCTATATCTGAGTAATCAGGAATTGTGATTGACTCTTTATTGTTACACATATACATTTTTTTCCTTAGCTTGTTGCTATGTGCTTCAAACAGACTCATGCTAACTAGATGTGAGCACGATGTACAAAACAATCAGGAACCATGTCGGTTCGAAACCAAGACGTAAGAATGAGTCTGAGATGAGACTAAAGTGTGTTTGCTAGCTTTAACCTTCTCATATTAACTGACCCATATTACTAACATAGTCTTTCTGTTCTCCACCACAATTCATTGATCCATAATTTGCCTCTTTTTTTTTTTAAATCATTCAACAGCTTTACCCTATTCCTCGGTAAAGTGGAATTTTGTTTTTGATTCTATAACTGTTCCTGGGTCTGATTTTCCAGCTGTCAATCCAAAATCATCCCTCGGCTGCTGTCACTCAGCCTCAGTGGATGATCTTGGTTCTGGGATCCACCGGAGAATCCCAGCCTCCTCATAGAAAACGGATAGACTCTCTCTCTCTGTCTCTCTTTCTCTCTCTGTCTCTGTCTCTGTGTCTTTTTCTCTGTAACTGTCCTGTGGTGTCTCATTGCCCGTCTTCCTTGTGTCCCCACAGAGTGCCTTTGTTGATAGCTTGGAAGGAGACAGTCCCTTTCCCAAGAAGCAGGTCTTTACCCACAAGTTCCCACTTTTCCTTCTGCATCGAGCTGGCACTTTATTTGCACCCACTCCTTCCTTCCCTCTCTCTATCTCTCTCTCTCTCCCTCCCACACCTCTATCCTCCTCCTCTTTGCTGTTTACCTTTTTCACCCTTGCCCCTCCTCCTCCCCCGCCTCCCCCCTCCCATTTCACTGTCCTCTCCTGTCATTTATGACCCTGAATCCCAACGTTTGTGCGCACCAACATCTTTCTGACCTGCCATCTGTTCTGTCTGTGCATGTGTGGGCTTCAACCTGATCGGACTGTGTAAGCAGCACTACGTTTGATGCTCTTGTGTGATAAGGCTTGGCTCTTTACCTAAATCCCAGTTTTTTTTATATATCGGTGGATTATGCAGGAATTCTTGGTTCGTAATTTTAAAAAACAAAACAAAAAAAAAACCTATGTTTATGTTCTGGTCCATAAGTTGTCAATTTTTTAAACATTTCAATGATACCAATCCTGTTACTCTGTCTGATCATGTTATTCTTGAGTATGTTTTTATAGCACTGAGTGCCCCCTGGTGCTGTACACCTGTTAAATGCTGTGGTAAAATCCTTTTATGGGTCCGCAGAAGAAGGTTTTATACAGAGATTTACCATTTTTGGGGGGAGAAATTCCCGCATACTCTACCTTATTTTTAACGTTGTCTTTTTTACTCATCGTCTTATTTTTGAAGATACATCTTCATCAAAATCTTTTAACCTTCAACTGACTCTCACTTCCTGCGCCCCTGTGCCCCCTCATTCGCTCCCCTCTCTCCCTTTACCTTCCATTCCTCTTAGCCAACTTACTATACGTCCCCTTCCTCCTCTCCCTTCTTCACAGCGTTTCTCCCTTGTCTCTCCTCTTCTTCTCCCTCTCCCCCTTTCCCACCCTCTCACCATAGCCTGCTCAGTAGATGGTGTGGGGTTTAAGAGATGGCGTTGGTTTGCTTGCTGTCGTCATTAGCGCTAGAGCCGTCGCTGTCCGCTGTCCCATGAAGGCGGTCGCCTCAGACATCTGCAGTAGTAGCATCTTCCCTCCTGTAGTCTTCATCACATTACTGCTGGGTCTGGCATCAAAATATCACCGTGCACCGTCTGAATTTGGACCAGAGGTCAATGTCACTCAACTGCATTTGCAATCTCCTCCAGCGGCTGTCGCACTCGGGTTTTTGAATGTGGTTCAAAGTAGCCGTATCCTAGCGCCGTGATGTGAGCGACACGGGCTGTTCCTCCTCACGCAGCAGAGAATGGCTACTCCATTCACAGTGACTCACAAACTGAACACGCTCTCAGCTCCTCTTCTGTCTTCTCTCCCTCGCTCCTCTCCACCGTACACTCACTCTTCTCCTCACGTAGTCCAGCTGCCACCGCTGCACCATACATCCACCGCAACAGCTCGACTAACGTCCAGACTGCTGTCTCATGCCTGATGCTTGCACCGTTGCCACAATCACCCATTGTAGAACTTGTTTAAACTCAGTCTCTAAGTGTGTGTGTGACTAACAGGATTGTTGATGAAATATAATTTGTTTTTGAAGGTAGCGGTGTGTGTAGCGGTAAGTTTTAATGACTCATGTTTCTTACAGCTGCTGTGGGAACATGATATGAATATGACATCCATTTAAGCTGCCTTTATTTTGTTAAGTTGACAATATTATAACTTTGAACCAAAGTAGGAAACATTTTATATGAGGTAATTATGTAATTATTAAGACAAAAGAGAAGTTGGTTGCAAGCTATATTTAAAAAAAAAAGTGAAGGCCCAGAACTTGAATGTTCTCTGCTGGTTTTTAAAAGTAAACTCATATCAATAGGTGTCTGTACAAAACAGCTTCTTTATAATTGTTTTATAAAATATATATAAAAAAATAACTTTATGAAGTTTAAAATCGTAAATGCTCATTTTTGTTCTTCAGTAAAACGTTTTTTATTCTGATACTATTTAGAATAAATTTGATGATAAAAATGCTACTGATCATGTCAAGCCAGCAGAGCACTTCCTGTCTACTCACAGGCTTCACTTTTGCAACCGAATTCCAACTTCCATATTTAAATCCATGCAAAGAATGCACTTGGATCAGGTTTGTCCAACGTCTGGCCTGTGGTCTAATCATGGCACATGGACTATAAATATATACTGTATGTACAACATAATCTTAAACAACAACTAAGATATTCTGTTGGCCCAGATACTGACTGTGGCTGGCTTTATTTGTTGCAGTAGCTTCCTGTGTGTGGAGTCTGATTTACTGGGACTTTTGTAGAGTAAAAAAAGGATACATTTGTTAATTTTCTGAGAATTTAGTTTCTTCATATTTAAACTGTTTTGCTCTTGAAATGAATGAGACATTTTGAATGTGTTTTTCACAGGATTTTAAAGCTGTGTGTGTGTGTGTGTGTGAGTCATGCTCAGAAAATGTAAATAACAAAAATCTGCACCGTCTCATTGTCACCACCTGTCCTCTCTCTCTCTCTCTCTCCGCCACCTGTCCTCTCTCTCTTTCTCTCCCTTTTTCTCCCTCTCTCAGCCTCTGGTCAAACAGGACAGCCTGGACACCTACAATGAGCGGGACCCCTTCAAGAACGACGACGCCCGGGACGAGGAGGAGGACCCTGAAGACACGGACAGTGGCATTGAGGGCGAGGTGGACCCCCTGGACCGTGATGTCATCATCCAGCCTCCGCCTCCCCCACCTCCTTTGAGACCCCTGGCAGAGAGGGTCAACTTCCCAAAGGGCCTCCCCTGGGCCCCTAAAGTCAGGTTAAATATGTCATTTTATTAGAACTTCAAGATGAAAACTTTAAAAATTATACTTTGTAAAGTTACATATTTTTCATCAATTCTTAACTTGGAGATATTAATTTCTGTCAAATGTGGGCCACATCCTACAGTGATCCATCCCTGCCCACTTTTCATTTGCTTGGACATATACTGTAGTGGGCCATTTTATTATGTCAAATGTGACCTATTGTATGGTAACTTTAATATAAGGCAAGCTTCTGTGGGCCACATAAAATGACTTGGCAGGCCGCATTTGGCCCTCAGGCCCTGAGTTTGACACTTGGTGTAGACTGCATGTCAACTAAAATGGCATCAGTCTACAACGATGTGAAATCTGTTTTTGGCCACATTTAACTTGGCGATTGGAGGTACTGTGGGTATATGGATGGTACCTTTGCACAAACTGATGAGATCTGATAGGAGTACTGTATTCACACAGACATACACATCACAGTTGTTGTATCAGCCGCCTGTGCAGATGTTCTCAGGTGAACCCAGAATCTGACGGCAGCATTTCTGTCTCCGACAGGGAGAGGGACATCGAGCACTTCCTGGAAACCAGCAGAAACAAGTTCATCGGATTCACTCTGGGAAAGTGAGTCTTCCGTCTCACGTGGTCAAACCTCCTGATATCATCATTTTGAATGGAGCTGCGTGTGACTGACATTTGTCTTTTGCAGCGACACAGACACCCTGGTGGGTTTACCCAGACCCATCCACGAGAGCGTGAAGACTCTGAAACAGGTGAAGCAACTTAGTTTAACCCTTGAGTTAATCCTGTCCCTGATGATTTTCATGTTGCACATGAACATCCATGAAATTTAAACTGACAAATAACATTCTTTTTGTCAGTAAAAAAAATTGAACCTTTTTTTTCACCAGCACAAATACGTTTCTATCGCTGAAGTCCAGATCAAGAGGGAGGAGGAGCTGCAGCAGTGTCCACTCACTCTGGTCAGTAATTTTAACTTCACATACTGTACTGTGACTCACACTGGTCAGATTTGGATCAACACTGTTCTAAAATAAATAATTTTTTAAAATTTGCACGACTTAAGAGTTTGAATAAGAAGGAATATTGTGGAATAAATATGGAAAACTGGAATAACATATTTGTCTGTGAAACTGGTGCTAAACACATCAACTATAAATGTAATTATTTTATCAAATTACTCTATGCATATGACTAATATTAGAAGATTAAGAGAATATCATATATCTTGTCCTACTACTCCTCCAGGGGGCACTAAGGGGAACCTTAGAAACTTGGAGAGAAGCAAAACAAACAATTTACATATATATAAGTACCATATTTTCCAGACTATAAGTAACTTTTTTTCATCCTTTGGCTGGGTTTGCAACTCAGGTGCGACTCATTCTCACCACTAGAGGGCACTCTAGGCTTACCAGTATCTGCTACTGCCATATCACTGAAAATTTACATGTTCATATTTTCATACTGACAGCCACTAAAGGGCACTGGTGTAAATTATATGTTTTTTCTTCTTCATTATGCATTTTTTGGCTGGTGCGACTTATAGTCCGGAAAATACGGTATTTGTCCTTGTGCGACAGCTGTGAGCTGGTGTCATTCTAAAACTTCATGGTTTCTTTCCATATTTTGTTTGTGGATTTATAAATGGGATTCCCTGGCCAGGAGCTAATGCTGTTTGGGGTGGGGTGGGGGCTTGGCATGGAAAGGTGGGGCAACCCCTGCTTTAAAGAATTAAATGTTGATTTCATCACGTGTGTGTGGTGTTCAAAGGGTGAGGAGGAAGTGGAGGAGACACCCACAGAGATGCTTTACCTGGGAATGCTTCCCAACCTGTCCCAGTATGTGGTAAGTACCTCAGAAATACTACATATGGTATCAGTATATATAAACCAATGTATTTAGAATTTTTTTTTTTGCATTTCTGCTCATTCTAACCACATTATCAGTCAACATTAGAGCTTTTATTAAATATTTTGAGATGCCTTTATTTTTACATTATTATGGTCCATTTATTGACAGATGCTCATTTCAATCCTACCTTCAATAACCCTTCCTTTATGTCAGATTGCTCTTCTGAAGCTGCTCCTGGCTGCAGCTCCAACCTCCAAAGCCAAAACTGACTCCATCAACATCCTGGCCGACGTGCTGCCTGAGGAGATGCCGTAAGTCATTCAAGTTATTGCTCCCCAGATGCTGCTCTATCACCATTGGATAGTGATATTTGTGTAGCTCCATCACAGTGATGCCATATTTTTTTATGCCAGTAGGTCAATATAATAAAATATATAGTCAAATACATTTACGCTGAGATGAAAAATAGAGTGAAAAGAGTCGTCATCTGGGTAAACCAGTACGAGTCCTGGGGCCCTGATGAATTTTCCTCTGGTTTTGTGCAGACTTAGGAGTTGTGGAGGCAGAACTATTAGATCTTGCTGACGTCTTCTTAGCAACTTGTCCTTGGCCTTCTTTCTTCAGCTTCAACTATTAGATCTTACTGACGTCTTCTTAGCAACTTGTCCTTGTTGCGTGTTACTTGGACTGATATTTTAAGCACTGAGAGTCAAAGAGCACATCTTACCGTCTGTACTGGGTGTTTTTTAAGAGCTGTGTTTTTATTTACGAAGATAACTTTTTTATTTACATCCACTACTGTGTTTGTGTGTGCGTGTGTGTGTGTGTGTCCAGTATCACTGTCCTTCAGAGCATGAAGCTGGGAATAGACGTGAACCGACACAAGGAGATCATTGTTAAGGCCATATCTGCTCTGCTGCTCCTGCTCCTCAAGCACTTGAAGCTCAACCATATCTATCAGGTAAAACACACACACACACACACACGAGCAGACTTTCTGTGTGCAGCCTGATCACATAATACCTATTTCTCTACATTGTTTTCATTTTTCTGCTTCAGTGCAGACACACACACACACATTTTGATTGGATTGATATCACTGCACCTCCCCCTGAGAAACCCCTTCCATTTTCCACCTGATCTTTTGGTTAAGCGTGCCCACACTCCCCCCCGTCTCCCCCCACTTTTCATTTTTTTACTCAACCCCCATCCCTGAACCTCCGACCTGCACCACCCCCACCTTTCCCAGCCAACATTTATTTCTCCTGTTCTATACTGTACATTTAAGTATTGACAAAAAACCCAACATATGTTGGAAAAGTAAAACAAAATCTCGTGTGTTTCTTCACTTTCCATTCGATTCCAGATTTTAAATATTTCCGTCGTTTTCTTCAGTCCGAAATAGATTGGATCAGGGGTTTTCTCTGTTGCTAGGAGGAAACATTCCTTCACTCTGACTTATATAGCTGTTCCTCAAAAATGTCTTGGCGGCGCCCTCTGCTGGAAGAGGACGATAATACACCTGCATCCGTATGAGCTTCTAGGAGTGTTTTCTGTCTTTTAAATGAACTTTAATGATGAGCAAACCGTTACATTTAAAACAGGAATGGTTGGCGACAAGTTTTAAATTATACGGGTAGAAAGAATAATATAAAATGGTCTAATAGGAGCTGACCTGATGTCCAGATTAAAAATAATTAGTAAGTAGAGTAAGAATTTATTAAGAATTTAAAGGCATTTTCAATAGCTGAAAAAGTTTTATTTTTAGCCTGAAAAAGTCAAGTTGTTTTTCTCGTCATTGTGCATTTTATTTTTTACCTGTGAAACTCGGACGCCCTCCTCTGTTTCTGCAGTTTGAGATTGTCTCCCAGCACCTGGTGTTTGCCAACTGCATCCCACTCATTCTGAAGTTTTTCAACCAGAACATCATGTCCTACATCAGTGCCAAGAACAGGTAAGAACAAATGGTATTCTTAAAGATGGATTCACAGCAGCAGAGAAACTAACAATTACAAAATATTCTCTTTTTTTTTTTCTTCTGCGACAGCATCTGTGTGCTGGACTTTCCTCACTGTGTGGTGCATGAGATGCCTGAGCTCACCGCTGAGAGTTTGGTGAGTGAACACAGCTGACGGTGGAGCAGCAGGTTCCCAGACATCATCATGACATGACTCTGTGTGTGTGTGTGTTCATTCAGGAAGCAGGAGACAACAACCAGTTCTGCTGGAGAAACTTATTCTCCTGCATCAACCTGCTGAGGATCCTCAACAAGCTGACCAAGTGGAAACACTCCAGGACCATGGTGAGAGTCTGGAGCAGTGATTATCAACAGGCGGTTCCCGGGCCAAATCCTTCCCGCAAAAACCTTAAAATCTGGCCTGTGATTGGATTAAAAAAAAAGAAATAAAAATAGACAAAAATTGGATTTTCTCCTACAAATATACTGTAGTTTTATTCTCAATTTAATACAAAGTATTTTACCTTAAACTAAGTATTTTTTTACTTATCTTCTGCTGCAGTGATTCCTAAAATGATCCTGTTTCACTTAATTTAGCTAAAAACTATTTTTATTTAAATTTTTACACTTTAACATCTTTTTTCAAACATCTTTTTTTTTCTCCTTACAGATGTTGGTGGTGTTCAAGTCTGCTCCAATCCTGAAGAGGGCGCTGAAGGTGAAGCAGGCCATGATGCAGCTTTATGTTCTCAAGCTGCTGAAGATCCAAACCAAGTATCTGGGTCGTCAGTGGAGGAAGAGCAACATGAAGACCATGTCGGCCATCTACCAAAAAGTCCGACACAGACTCAACGATGACTGGGCTTATGGAAATGGTAAAAAAAAACAACATTCTGACATAATAATAATAACTGTATTGTATGTATTTATGTACAGTTTAAGTATTTCTTTTGTTTGTTTTTGTGGTGGTTTGATGTGTCTTCTGGTATAATGATATATCAAGTATTTGTCAATATTTACAATGGATAATAGTATTATATATTATCATTGGTATTTTATCATGAAACACATTCTACCCTCAGAGTTTATTATCCTGGTGATGTCATAATTAGTTCCAGTACCTTCACCACATCCTGTAGTAGATCAACCCACACATTATTGATTACTGCGATAATTCCAGGTTAATACATATACCCACTGTAAAAGTGTCTTGCGGCGACTGTATCCTTGTAGTATAGATGGTCAATCACTGGCTCCATCCAGAAATGGGAATGTGTTGCCATGGCAACAGAGAAATGGGGGACATTTCAGGGTCACAGTTTCCTGCAGAAGAATGAATGATCTGTCACCGTGGAGTAGAGGGAGAGAAGCAGCACGAGACGGAACATGGATGTCACAGATACTTATGTTTAAATGTCTACATTTGAAGTGTGAACAGTGAATATTTCTATTAGAAATGAGCTACGTTTGACAGAGGTTACTACATAAAAGGTTAGCCAAATACTAAGAGTTAGCCACAACTGGAATCCAAAATAAAATAAAATAATTCTGTTAGACAACAATTTGTTTTTAATACCACATGTATTTGTGTATACATTACAAAGTTTTTATATATTTTTACATAAAATATATATGCCAATATATATGTATATATGTCAGGTTTTATTGATTGTGTCCGTCTGTCATTTCAGACATTGACGCACGGCCCTGGGACTTCCAGGCGGAGGAGTGCGCCCTGCGTGAGAGCATTGAGAAGTTCAACAGCCGGCGCTATGACAAGAACAAGAACGGAGAGTTCATGCCCGTGGACAACTGTCTCCAGAGCGTCCTCGGCCAGCGTGTGGACCTGCCCGAGGACTTCCACTACAGCTACGAGATGTGGCTGGAGAGGGAGGTGTTTTCTCAGCCCATCCAGTGGGAGGGGCTCCTGCAGAATCCATGATGAAGGAGAGAGAGGAGATTGGTGAGATGGATAAGAGAGAGGGAGACGCCGGAGGAGGGGGGGTTGGGGGTTGGGGTGAGAGGTGATGTAGAGGTCACGCAAACTGTGGGACTGTCAGAACGGTTTAAAGATGTGAACGTCCTCAAGGAAATTGAAGAAGAAGGGAAGGGAGGCAGGAGGTGCAAGGAGAGAGTGAAGTGAAGCAAGTTGCCTCACAGGCCATGCAGTGATGGACGGAGAAGAAAACCAAGATGGCGTCCGAACTTGGATCAGATAGAAGCTACACATGCACAAGTCGCTGCAACGTGACTACGACAAAACAGGTGAGAACGGAGTTAGCTTTCTGAGAAACACCCGACGTCGCTGTACCGGAGGCTGTTTCGGCCAGTTATACTGCCCCCTAGGTTACACATTTTAAATGTGTCCCCCCTTTATGAAACACTGGTGCTACGTTAAAATACTGATGTTCTGTTTTTTAAGGCGTGGGGTTAGTCACATTTATAATACATGTTTTTTTTAACGGAAATATGTATATTGTAATAATTTTCAGTTTATGCCTTATTTTAAGGACTTTATCACAGGGCTCTTTGGGTTTTGGTTTCACTGTATGGATTTCAGAATTATTTCTTATGCATTTTTCTAGAAGACCGGCCTTTTAAAAGAAAACCACAGGGTCATTTTTTATAATCCAAACGTTTATGTGGAGCGACATTCTCCGACAAAAGGCACCAAAAATAAAAAGAGAGAAATACTGTATACCAGCGGTACGTGTGTAGTTTGGTTGTCAGTGTGGTGGGTGTTAAAGTGGGAAAGTAAATGACGGACATGCATGGAATATATCTTTTGGGCACAATAGAGACATGCTTTGCTCAAAAGTAGAGTATACAAGAATTTAACCCAAAGAGAAGCACAGACGAAGTCCTTCTTTATCAGGTCACTACAGGTGTATGGTGGTGTGTTTATGTGTGTATTGTGTGTGAGTATTTAAGATAAGAATGTATTTGTTTTTGGTCAGCAAGTACACAGGAAGTACATCGTCATTTTCATGTATTTTTCCTCCTCGGTGTACAACTAGTTTTTGTGGAGACATGATATATTGAGAGTGCACAATGATCATACACACAGGCATTCAACCTGTGCTTATACCTCCCCCTGCAGGGGATCTACATGAAATGTGTTTACTGACATTAGCCCAAAAAAAATTCTTGTACGCTCTACTTTAACAGTTGCATCAAAGCTAGTATTCATATTGGATTATAATAAAATAAAAAAACGTAAATGTCACCGTCACTTATGTCATTCCAAAAAAAAGTTGTTTTTTTTTTGCCTAAAATCCTCCCTAAACGTGTTACCCTTGATGTCCTCTAGGTTGCATTCATGTCCAATAAAGGTCCATTAGATCAGATTGTAAAGGATTAGGATAGCTACAACAGCACAAAAATCACTCTGCCCCCTAGTGGTGGCCTTTCCTCTACTCGCATGGAAGAACAGCATAGTTGTCAAAAACGAAATTGTCTTCAACGTAATCCTCTTCTAAAGCACACAGAAACACAGGACAGGAGTTCAGTCTGTTGACCCCTCACCTCCAGAGGTCCGGGGTCATCACAGTAAAATGTTTGTACAGTCAAATTAACAATAATTTTTGAACCCCGTCTGGTCCTGCTCTGTGGGAATGTGCATGGTACACTCTACTTGTCTGGTCCCTGACGTCTGAAGCACAAGTGGGAGAGTCGTTTTTATCTTCTGCATATAATGAATATTAATTGTCTTCTTATTTAATAGTAATAAAAAATAAATAAAATAAAAATGTATGAAAATAATGAGTGACTGAAATCTCAGGTTTACAGAGATGATATATTGCAACAATTTAAACGCTTCCTTCTTGTCGTAAAGTTCACATATAATACATACACTATATTGTCAAAGTTGTATAATAATAATAATAAAATCTCTGCACAACACCTCTAAACACAGTGACTCATTGTGAGTTGGTATTTCTGTCCATTGCCTCTTAGACGCAGATGTTGTTTTTCTTTTGTATCGTGTGCCAAACTTAAGTGCCATCGTCTCCTTTATTTATTTATTTAAATGTCATTGCCTCGGTTGTTATATTTAAGATTATTTTTTATTCAAATTACCGCTGCTGGTCTGCAATACAGAAATGTTATTTTCTACCTGAAATGTTGTACAATCAATGGAAAAAACACTGTTCTCCAGTGTCTGTAACTGACTTGTTTAACGTTGTGTGGTAGTTTTTTTTTTAATAAGTTACTTGTTTTCGTTACACACGTCTACATATCTGTTCAGGGGTATGTGCAATTGCAGATCCATAGAGGCATTATTTAACAGAATTACAATGTTACTGAATGCTTATTAAACAATATTCAAGAATTTTTATGAGGGTTTTTTGTTTGTTTGTTTTGGAACAACTGCACACACACAGCGTACCAAGGTCAAAATGACCCACCCCTCACTTGCACACATCAGAAATCACACATTTCCTCAGGCCAATGTGTCAACAGCTCAGCACCACACTGACGGCAGTGGAGATGTGAACGCATGCCTTGCTGTGATTGGCTGATATCCAGAATGTCCAAAGTCATTTTATTCCCCATAGAACGCTTATATAATACAGAAAAGGGGTGGAAACTAAGCAAATGTTTGATATGTGATACATTTTTGAAGACACAAAGAAATTTCCTTTGAAAATATGCATTTTTAATAAATTATGTGCTTTTCTGTGAAAAAAAAATCAAGATGCAAAAACATTTCTACAGGAACAAAAAAGGCATTGAACTACATTAATTAAAAACAAAAAAAGTTTCATTCATGTTTCCCAACCTTTTTTGAGCCACGGTGCATGTTTTAAATGACACAAACAAAAATGACCTTCTATTTTGGGTGAACTTGGGGTGTGACCTTGGACTGTTTAATTGAACACAACCGTGATATACTGGCAGGAATTGAAGATGGAAACACATGAAGATCTTCTTCAACAGCTCTGAGTCTCAGTCTGTAGTACAGCAAGAAATACTTCAGAGAAACATGATTTACTTCTTCCCTTGATCTTTAACCACCCATACACTTAAATGTGTGTTTTGTGTTGTGAAATAATTTATATAAAAAAATACACACGAGGGAGTGCCAGTTTTCTCTAATTGGTGTGCAGCAGTTTCAGACCCATAGCTGATTCGCCCTCAAATTTTCCAGTCCAAACCAGTCCTTGTGTGTTGGTGAATACTCCTTCACCTTCCAACCTGGAAATACACATGAGTAACACACATATTTTAAGACAATTTTAAACTTAAGGCAGTGAAAATTAACAATTTCTTGTCATCAGACCTTCTGGTCTGAATATATAACAAAAACTACAAACAAAATTACAATATGAAACCAAAGTTTCAAAAGTGTCATTTTGTACCTGTTCATACAAAATTGTCCTTTATAAGTGGAGCCATCAGGAAAGGTATAGGTTCCTGTGCCGTGGTACATGTTATCATGAAATTGTCCTTCATACTGAGCTCCAGAGGGAAGCTGCAGTGTCCCTTTACCATTGATCTAAAGTACGTGGGTGAAGGATGAAGAGAGAGAGAGAGAGAAGCACAAGAATGACTAACAAACCTCTGAGAGAATACACTCACGCTGGCTTTAGTCACCGACACCTACAGGCTATTTGAACACCATTATTTATACCTTGTCATCCTGCCACTCTCCGGTGTAAACAATTCCATTCGGTGATGTGTGTTTACCCACGCCTGTTCGCACGATTGCTCCAGATGCAGATTTGGTGCACTCCCCCTCTGTGGAGGGAAGAGAGGTTGTCACGGACTGGTATAACCTCAATATCGTTCACTTAAAATATCTCACCACTCACCATATCTGTCCCCGTTTGGAAAAATGTAGGACACCTGTATCAGTTCCGGCTCTGAGAGGAAAAATTGACAAAACAGTTTTCTATGTTACATAGAAATGCTTCATTTTTAAGATAAAATGTAGGATGTAAAAGAGTTTTTAGAAACAATTTAAATTATTTTTAATTTAAACAAACCTATAATTTTTGACTCATTGTAGACTGAGTTAGACTGACTTTGTAAGTAATTGTGTTATTATGGGTGAACCCATGGCAGTAGGTAATCACCTGGAGCCGCATTGTGATTGCTTGGGCTCTTCTTCTTGGATTTCGCACCACTTGGCATCTTGAATGTCGAACTAGCGTCTTCTTCCTTTTCTTCTTCTTGCTTTTCTTCTTCTTTATAAAGTTGAACGTTCTCCTTCTTCTGTTCTGCCTTATTTTGTGTGAAACAAGATAACAGTTTGTATTTAGAATTACTTAGACAATACTTTTTGTTTGTATTCTATCTAGTTCCTTCGATCAGTAGATCAAAGGTACATAAAGTTGAACTACCGTCATTGTGTGCGCCTTCTGTTAGTTCTCAGTGCACCGGTTCAGTGGTCAGAGAAATGAAAAATAATTAATAGTAAGTAAAAGTTGCTAAAGCGTTATTTTTCTAAACAATTATGTTTTCATTACAACACTTAAATGATGCCTGCGTTGTACGAGCAGTTCGTCAATAAACATGGTTACTATAGCTACGAAGAGGGGCTCCGTTTTGACGCAACACCTGGGTTGTGTGAAAAAACGTACCCCTACTATTGAAGTATACTTTTAGGTTTCGTGTAGCCTTAAATTGCAAAATTTATATATTTTTATATTAACATTTACTACATAATATTATTATTGCTCTTATATAATAGTATTCATAATCCTGACATGAGTACATGATATTATATTCCGCGGCAGAAACACAAACTTTACGGCACTAAACCGGAACATGAAATGTAAACATCCGGGTTTTGCACCAATGAAAGGGCTGCAAGCTGCCGGTGGTTTCAGTCGTCCCAGGTTCGGGTTTACTCTGTTTGAAGTTTTTCGATAAGTTGTTAAACTGTATATTATACCACAATAAAAATATTTACCGACGACAGTCTAATGTATAATAAATTACATTCTGGTGTAATCTGAAAATATGTTTCTCAGATATGAACGAACGCTATGGGTTTCACTATAAAACTGAAGAGTTAGCTTGTTAGCTATCTCATACTTTGATGATCGACATTGATTCTTTATAGAGCCCATAGCTTTATTTTATGTGACTGCTTGAAATACTCAGTGAGGCCGTGGCTGTAAATACTCGACCAGTCACTTTGCGATGTTTGTCTCTGTTTGATATCAACATTGTAGCCAACAGCACTGTGCGGATGTTTGTATCAGTGTCACGGCCACCGCGTGCACTTGGACTGAAGTGCCTCAAGCAGCGTCGTCGCAGGGATATGTGACTGTGCTCTTCAGTGGATGTTTCTCAGTGTCGTCCTACTCAGTGCAATAGACGCTCCTACCACTAAGAGGTAGAGGAATAAACCACTCTACTCATCTGTTTCTCAGATTGGCTGCTATGATAAAGGACACCGATTAAAGGTGAGTGTACCTAATATGAATTGGACGATTTGGCAACCTCTTACTATCAATAAACTATTTTTGGACTGATGTTTTACATTTAAGTTAACAACTAACCAAGTTGATATGCAGTAATACACCCCTTAATACGTTCTTAGTATTGTTATTATAAAGATTCACATTGGTAAACATTCCGTGTGAACCTGTGATTATAGTAGTGTAGTAGTTATAAAAGCTTGTGCTATCATAAAATTAAAAATGTGCTCACAACGTTTTTACAGCAGAAGAGGATGAGTACCAGGAGAAGAGGTGGAAAGCCAAACAGAGGAGGAGGGAGGTTTAACAAGCCCAGAGGTGGCGGAGGGGGTGGAAGCAAAAAAGGAGGCAGTGTGCGATGGGATGATGATGACGATGATTTCAGTCTGGATTTTGGACCACCTCGTTCCAGCAGGTACATTTGATTTGTGACAGAAACAATTTACAAAAATGTCATAATTTTGAAAATATTTTAATTCAATTGTAATACTGTCTCTTGGTCTTTGTCTTGACTGACTTTGTAGACCTGGCAAAGGACGAGGTGGCAGCAGCAACAGCCACTCTAGTAGTAGGGATGGAGGTAGAGGTAGAGGAAGGGGAAGGGGAAGAGGAAGGGGCGGGGGAGACAGGAGTCACCAGACACCCGCACCTTTTAAAAGCAGCAGGCCCCTGCCGAGTTCACTGGCAAGAATCAGGCCAAGTCCAATAACAGGAGAGAGCAGCAGGCAGGTGAGCAGCACCATGCCCATGCAGAAGATCTTCATGACCAGCGAGAATCAAAAACAACTCAGGGAGCTCCTGAGGGATCTGCAGTCTCTGGATCCTAACGAACCCTTTGAGTAAGTATAATTTATTATATGTCATCTCTTTAGTTTGCACATGCTTCATAAAAAAAATCCACAATTCAAGTCCCGTATTCATTTTAATGACCCCCATCCCTCAGTGAATATGGCTCAGATTATTCAGAGGAAGAAGAAGAGGAGGAGGAGGAATATGATGAGTTGGATCACCGTGAAGATGGTCAGTTTTGGGCCACAAATGATGAGCCAGTGGAGAGAGCAGATAGCCCCATGTATGATCCAGAGTCTGATGATGAACGACCCGCCCCTGAACCTGTCATCTCCTTATTTGCTATAGGAAAACTCTGCAGGTGAATGTGGATTTTTACTACTTCACTTTTGATTTGTGTTTTTGTATATTTGGTATCCATCCAAACACTAATATATCATTATCTCTTATAGATATGGTTTTGACCGGGAGCGCAGCAAGGTGGCGCTGCAGTGTAGTGGAGGTGATTTTGGAGCAACTTTGGAGCAGCTTCTTCACCAGGTTTTCAGAGAGCGCTTTGGCCGGGAAGCTGTCACTCCCGATGGTCTTGAGGCAGTTCCTATGGATGAGTGCTTGAACCAGAGGCAGGAGGAAGCCCTGGCTTTAACTGCCATCTTTGGCGAGCGATTCACCGAGCGAATTGCTAACACTGTGTGGTCGATAACGCTTGACTTCTCGCTGTTCTCACTGAGCGGTAATAAGATTGCTCAGGACGAGAGTCGAGGCGGAGAGAGATCTGTCAATAACCGTGAAATATGCAAGTTCTACTTAAAAAGTAAAGGCTGTCGCTTCGGGGACAAATGCAGGTTTAAACACCAGATTCCCATTACAGACAGGTCTGGAGCTGGTTCCCCAGATCTCACAAGTCCAAGCCAGCCTGGATTCAGCAGCTATTCTCCCCCTGAGTATGAGCTAGAGATTCGTTTCCCTAAAGGGAATCGATACCCATTTCAGGCACCTATAGTTGCGTTCAGCACCAACGATGAGTCTATGCGACCTGCAGGGCGTCTCACGGTGACTGAGAAGTTATACGAGCAGGCCCTGGACGCAGCAAAGATTAGTGAACCTATCGTTTACACTCTGGCCACGTTGTGTGAAGATGAAGCTTCCATGATGGAACTTCTGTCTGTCAGTCATCACAAATACAGCACACCACCACCTGTCGTAGCCGTATCTACGCCCTCTTTAACCCCAGCTAAGAGCAAAACTTCAAAAAGCAACACTTTTGAGGAAACCAAAAATCCTACTATCAGTAGTGAAAATACTCACAACAGAAGAACTCCCCCATCCAGAAACCAAAGACCGTCGGACTGTGAGTAAAAACAAATCTCTTCATTTGGTACATTTCCTTCAACAGTTTCTTCTGATACAAGCAAAAATTTGGTAATAACATTGGTCTGTTAATTCTTTAAAGTGCCAGAAGAGCTGGATGAGAAGGAGGAAGGTCAGGATCGGGAACAGGAAGCCGTTCCAGTTCACAGTGAAAGTTACGCCAGTTTGAGAAAGATGGTGAAAAAGCACAGTATCAAGTTTGAGAACTTACTGCAAGAGAACCGCAAGCTATGCCGAGATTTCCAAAAGAAGAAGGTAAGGCGAGAAGATTTTCGTACACACTTGGCACTTGTAACTACACCTTTTGTCTTTAGAGATGTATTTAAATGGATGTTTAATATTTTCTTCCTTGATCCTTTCCCCAGTCATCCAGGCGCTTCCTTTCCATGCTGGAGCAGAGGAAAAGCCTGCCGGCTTGGCAAGAGAAAGAGAACATTCTTGACCAGCTGGAGGCGTGTCAGGTGCTGGTTATCAGTGGAATGACAGGGTAAGTCTTTCAGAGAGACACCAAATAAACCTTAACTGCTTAATGTATTTGTGATTACCATTAGGAATCTGTTCGTTTCCATTTCTTCCTTCACTTCTATTAAGGTGTGGTAAAACAACTCAGATCCCTCAGTTCATTCTGGACGCCTCACTGAGTGGCCCCGCCAGTCATGTAGCCAACATCATCTGCACTCAGCCCCGTCGTATTTCTGCCATCTCCGTGGCTCAAAGAGTGGCTCAGGAACGTGCCGAGAATCTGGGGAACTCAGTGGGATACCAGATCCGACTGGAGAGCGTCAGAGTACGTGCAAAACACAGATGAACAATTTCTCGTTGTGAACGACTTCTCGTTCACAAATGAACACCATAGATGACATAATTTTCAGATTTTTTACTTACTACTTTTTTCACCCCTTCTGACCGTCTGCTCTCGTCTGTCAGTCATCTGCCACCAGACTCCTCTACTGCACTACAGGCGTGTTACTGAGGAGACTTGAGGGTGAAGCTGACCTCAAGGACGTCACTCATGTTATTGTGGATGAGGTGCACGAGCGCACGGAGGAGAGGTGAGATAGTGCCCAACAGTCTTGTACAGCACATATTTGTTCACACCTTTATAGTGATTTGACAGCAGCGGCCTGTCACTGCTTTATTTCCACCACTGCTTCAGGGTTTGTGTTTATTTTCAAAATGTCACTCATGCCGCTTGTTTTACCCTCACCAACAAAAACAAAGACGTGAGGGAACGGAGTGGGTTAGCTCTGAGATAAAAAAAAAAAAGAACCCATAACTAAGATGCACAATTAGTAGAGGTTTTAAAAATGGTTAGTACAGCTCTTATTTCCTTTATAACATTTAAAAAAAAATCCATATTTGCTGTTGCCCACAACATTTTGTCCACAGATTATATAGACATTTCACAGATGATTCCATTCATAACAACCATGTTGAAATGCTACAGCTCTATTATTTAGCCTCCTCTTAAATGCCTCATTTGTTTGCGCTCTTTCCAGTGACTTCCTGCTGTTGGTGCTCAAAGACCTGATTTTGCAGAGGCCAGACATGAGGATTATCCTCATGAGTGCAACACTGAACGCCAACCTTTTCTCTGAATATTTTTACAACTGCCCATCTGTCCATATTCCAGGTAGAAACATTTGCAAAGTACTTGTAGTACAGTCAGCCTGCATTACATTCCCATGGATTATATTTAAGTCAAAAACATTTTTGAAAATCTCCAGGACGCACGTTTCCTGTCGACCAGTTTTTTCTTGAAGATGCAATTGCTAAAACTGGGTATGTTTACTAAACTCTGTTTTTAAGTGAATTGAAACTGGTATAAAATATTGCTTACATTTTGATGTTTTTGACAATACGTTTTTTCAGCTATGTCATTGAGGATGGCAGTCCTTATCTGCGCTCAGGGAAGCAGAATCAATCTTTTACAGCTGGAAAAACAAGCAAGGTACCAGTCAGGGACGTAGTGGACGACTTGGCTGACGACGCATGGAACTTCATGTCTTTTTATAAGAAGGATTTTATCAAAGACTCGGTGCCAGACCAGCAACTCAGCCTCCAGGATCTCACAATCAGATACAAAGGTGAGCGTCCGACTGATGTGCTGTCCTTTTGCATTGATGTGTTTGTTTTTCATATTGATTTTTCTGTATATTTAGACACCAAGAAATCTGTGCTGAAGACCATGTCAGCAATGGACCTGGATAAGATTAACGTGGATTTGGTGGAAAACCTCCTGGAGTGGATTGTCAGTGGGAAACACAACTACCCTGCAGGTTAGAATCAGCTGCTCAGTGATGTTTCTCCCTCTACTGGTGAATCATGTGAATCATGTGATCATTTTCATTTTTGTTTCTGGCTCCAGGGGCAGTATTGGTGTTTTTGCCAGGCCTGGCTGAGATCAAGATGCTGTATGAACAACTGCAGTCCAACAGAATGTTCAATAACAGAGGCTCAACCAGGTCTGTGGCATTGTCATTAAATATACAGTACACATTCCCTGAAAAGAAAAAGCTGGTAATGTTTCAATGTAATAAGCAAAAGAACACACAATTCAATGTTAACACAGACGTATTAATATGTAAAGGTAAAGTGCATTGTGTGAGGTAAACTTAAGATACATTACTGCCACCTACAGGTTAAAGTCTGAATCAGTGTTACTGTTATGCAAGAAATGGTGTCATGTCAGAAAAGAACTTTTGGTCAAATGCTGATCTTCACATCTTCACCTCAGGTGTGTGATTTATCCTCTTCACTCGACTCTGTCCAACGAGGATCAGGAGGCTGTTTTCAGCAAACCTCCAGAGGGCGTCACAAAGATCATCATCTCCACCAACATTGCCGAGACGTCTGTCACCATTGACGACGTGGTTTATGTCATCGACTCTGGCAAGATGAAGGAGAAAGGGTCAGTTCATGTTTTTATTTATAATAAATAATATGGGCCGTTTGAACGGCATTTTTTTTTATTTAGCCTGGTGGTGTTGTTTTTTTTTGTGTATATATCTTGTTTTGGTGCTGGTGTTGTTTTTTTGTGTATATATCTTGTTTTGGTTCTATTTACGTTTACATTTTTACAGAAACATGCATTGTCATTTCTGAAATGTTCATTTAAGGTTAATTTAAGAAAGAATTAGTACATCAAGTGCTTAAATATTTACCTAATTGTAAATATGCTACATTTCAATGAATTATCTAATAATTTCATGCAAATGACCCACATATATATATATGTGTAGTTATATATGTATGTATCTATGTGTCTATGTATATATGCATAAGTAAATACATCCATATCCAAGATTTCTGTTGATTAATCCCTTCTTTGAAATCTATAACTTTTAATATTTTGCCAAAAACAGCCTTTGTAATGCACCATCCACAAAATTGTATTTTCATAGTTACGACGCATCTAAAAGCATGGAGAGCCTGGAGGAATCGTGGGTCTCTCGGGCCAACGCGCTGCAGAGGAAGGGTCGAGCCGGTCGCGTGGCCTCAGGCGTCTGTTTCCACCTCTTCACCAGCCACTGCTTCCAACACCACTTGGCTGAACAACAGCTGCCTGAGATCCAGCGAGTGCCTCTGGAGCAGCTCTGCCTGCGGTAAATCCATCTGTTTGCTCTTTGCTGCAGAGCTGCGAAATTGTTTTGTCCTCTCTGTAAATACAAAGAATTATGGTTTATGTAAGACAAGGGCACGATGAATAATGGTTAAAAATGACGCTTGAGATTAAACCTGACAAGTAAATATATTATCTTTGTAAAAGAAAAAAAATCCTCTGCTCTCACTTATTAACCCTCCTGCCTCTGACAGGATCAAAATCCTGGAAGTGTTTGCCGAACAACCACTGGAGTCTGTATTCTCTCGGCTCATTGAGCCTCCGGCTATGGGAAGTGTGGATATGGCAAAGCAGCGCCTGCAGGACCTGGGAGCTCTGACTGCAGACGAGAGGCTAACACCGCTAGGCTACCACCTGGCCAGCCTGCCTGTGGACGTGCGCATTGGGAAACTGATGCTGTTTGGTGCCATCTTCCGTTGCCTCGACCCAGCTCTCACCATCGCCGCTAGTCTGGCCTTCAAATCACCATTTGTAAGGAAAACACGTATCAGTGTTCATTTAGTTTCAATACAAAAGACATGGTTTTAGAGCGATTGAAGCAAAAGTCTAAGGCACGTAGTATTTAAAGCAAATGTAGAGATTCAGAAGCTCCAAACATCTGGGGCGCAGACTCTTGGTGGGGCCAGATGGCCGTTTACCGCCACATCCCACTCTGTGGCTCTTGGGCTCGTTTCCTGTTACAGTGTCAGTTTTTGAGCTGGTCTGTTTTTTTCTCCCAGGTATCTCCCTGGGATAAACGTGAGGAAGCCACTGAGAAGAAACTTGGCTTTGCAGGAAACAACAGTGACCACATTGCTTTGTTAAAGGCCTACAAGGTGCAGTCAGCGCTGGCTTTAGTTTTAACAGGAAATAAAAAAATATGGAGTAAATACCTGTACGGTTATGATGTGTTTGACTGATTATTTTCCTGATTATTTGCAGGGATGGTGTTCTGCTGCGAAGAATGGTTACAAAGCCAGTTCTGTTTACTGCAGAGAGAACTTTCTGTCGTGGCGGGGCTTACAAGTAACTTCTTTTTCTTTCCTGCTGTGTCTGAAAAAATGACTCTCGTGCTTGAAATTTATGAACAATGCTATGTGTTTTTTTTTTTTAAATGTCTCATCATATCGTGTCACGTGCAGGAGATCGCCAGTCTCAAGAGGCAGTTTGCCGAGCTGCTGTCTGACATTGGCTTCATCAAGGAAGGGCTGAGGGCCAGGGTGATCGAGCGCATGTCATCTAATGCCTCGGATGGAGTTCTAGAAGCTACTGGCCCTGAGGTGAACCATGCAGGATTTCTTGGTGTAAATTCACTGCTTGTTCTTGTCAATGAAGAAGGGGTCCTTGACAAGACTTTTGTATAATTTTTGACCTAACTGGAAAATCACACATGAACTCTCTCCAGGCCAACCTGAATTCAGAAAATCTTCGTCTGATGTCTGCCATGATGTGTGCTGCCCTCTATCCCAACGTGGTCCAGGTAAAAAGCAAATATGTAGCATGTAGGTAATGTCTATGATGGAGGTCACTGACTGTATCTGTTGGAGGACCACTCAAGTACATCTTGAAGACTCTGATGCTGTTGTCTAGGTACAAGCCCCTCAGGGAAATTACAAAATGACCAGCACAGGAGCAATGAAGATGCAGCCGAGAGCCAACGAGCTCCGCTTCATGACCAAGAACGACGGCTGCGTTCACATCCACCCTTCATCTGTTAACTACGCGGTGAGAATGTTGAACCAAAATTAAAATGTCTGTGAATATGGACGAGTAGATCAGGGGGATCAAACGCTCAGACTCCTGTCGATCTTCCAGGTCCGTCACTACGACAGTCCTTACCTGGTTTACCACGAGAAGGTGAAAACCAGCCGCGTCTTCATCAGAGACTGCAGCATGGTGTCGGTCTACACGCTGGTGCTGTTCGGAGGTGGACAGGTCAACTTGGAGCTGCACAAGGGGGAGTTCATCATCTCCCTGGACGATGGATGGATCAGATTTGCTGCTGCATCTCATCAGGTCACAGATTTAAACAGTATAAGTCTTTTGAAGATTTTTTTAGAGTGCACTTAAGGTCAAAATTTAAACAGACTTTTTGAGACAGACCGCCTACCGTCTATAAATCCCCTTGCACATCTGCAATGTTACACTGCAGAAATCTACAGCTGCAGGCATTTTATAAGTTCTTTACATTTAACTTGGACTTTAATGTCAAAGTTGTGTTTCATCTTTATTCTCAAATTGCGTTCAGAAAATAAATCGTTCTTCTAGGTAAAAAAAAAAGAAATCTTCCCTCTCAATTTTTTTTCCCTTGGGTGGTCTGAATACACCTCTGTACAACACTAGTTAACTAGTTACTAGTTAAGCTACAGTGACAAATCTTTCACAAGCCTATGTCTAAGGGCCACACAGTGGAAGAAAACTTATTCAAGATTTCTTTTAAATATGTCACACCAAATGTTAAAAAATAAGGAGCAAAGATGCGAAGACAATCTAAAACTAAACGACTGTTTGCAAAGACCTGCGTACTTCTTAAATTTGACATTTTGTTATTCATCCGTGCAGAAGAATCTGCCTCTGACTGTGCTGTTTTATTTTGGTCCAGGTGGCCGAGTTGGTGAAAGAGCTGCGCTGGGAGTTGGACCAGCTGCTCGAGGACAAAATCAGAAACCCCTGCATGGACCTGTGCAACTGTCCTCGAGGCTCCCGCATCATCCACATGATCGTGCGCCTCATATCTACAGAGTAGCCCTGTGAACCTGCCCCTCCTGCCCCTTCATCTCAAGGGCTTTAATGCGATGATGTCTCCTTGTCCTGCGGCTAATGCTGCACGGTACATGTAAATACGCTGAAACTGACTGACATTTCTGCCACCTGCCACTTTATCAGTTTACACTCGGCTCTTATTGTGCTGCCACTGCTTTCAAAAGCTTTAAAAGAAAACAGGTCGTCAACAAACTTCCACAAGTTCAATCGCAGAAATGGAAGAGACACTTAAGCCAAGTTTTTTTTCTCCTGACTAGATGCTGGGAAAACTCTTGATGATGTCACACTGTACGTGCAATGAATTTACTTGCACTGATTGTTAAATTTGATACCAGGTACAGGTTATAAACTGTATACTGTAGTTCTTTTTAATCTCACCTATGTCTTCCTCACATGTGAGATTTGTTTTTGAGTCCATATTGGACTTCGTCAGTGTTGTGGGTTTTTATTTATGATGCATGATTGACACGTCCAAGATTGTCTGCATGAGAATCCGTATCTAAACACAGATGGAATTGAACAGAAACTTTACAGCAACAGTGGAACAACACTTTTGATCAACGTAAATGAAAAGGCTCTTCGTAAATCTGTAGAGCCTGAGGGGAGTCGCCAAAGAATTTAACAGTATATTGTCTTTGCAAGTACGTCTTCAACTGTAATTCACGCTGCATTAACAATAAAAAAAGGGGCAAATATATGTGAACCTTAGTTTCCTTTTCATGCTTTTTAGTTCATGTTTTGTGTAGCATTTAAAGCCTGGCTGTGATTGCAGTCGAAGACACAATTTACAACTTGTTGAAAAAGGCCGTCATTTATCAGCGAGGCCGTTGTGTTTCTGTGGAAACAGGACGTAAACAAATGTCTGTCACTGTCTGAGTCAACGCCATTCTGTTGCCACCAACAACATTGTCAAGTCTAGAGCTGGTAAGACATTGATTAATTATTAATTTCTGCTTTCACCATTTACAGCATCACAAGTGTGATTGTAGTTTTTAACATGTTAGAAAAATGTTTTATATTCTGTATGTGAAATGTAAAGCATTTTTCAGAGGTTTATTGGGTAAATGATTTCCTTGAATTTCTTTTATATATAGTATAAGTATTTTTGAAAAATATCTATTACTTTTTCTATAATCTATAATGTCTGATATCCTCAACAAAAAATGTTTCTTTATCAGTATTTTTTAATTGTTAACCTTTGTTAAATTTAACGTTAACATTACACTTTTTGCTTTGTATTTTGTTGTAAATTATCTGAAGAACCACTTACCAGTCTAACATTAATTTATTGCTGAATATTTGGCTAAAATTATCTGATCTTTTGTTTCTTTCAGCAAAGGTTTTGTTCTTGGCTGTTAATATTCCATCAGTTCAACTGCTATTTTTAGTTATGTCTTAGCTGACACTTGTTACTGTTAGGTAGTAACTTAAATATATTTGCTTCCAAATTTAGCATTTTTTATCTTTTGTTTTACAGAAAACTTGACCGGACAGTGAAGTGGTCTTGACGGATCCCACCATGGTAAGAGAAACTAAAATCAATACTAAGTGTGTAGAAACCAAACTGAAAATAACCCGTGTGGTTTTCTGTAGCCAACAAAATCTAGGAAACCAAGGTCACATAGTTCGGGACCTAGCAAGAAGACCGGAGGCTCGAAGAGCCACAGAAAGCGATCTTTATCTAAGGCTACCAAAACAGAGGCCGACCTCCTCAGCACAGCTGCCCTGGAGAACGTCTACTACATTGCTCATAATGCAGCAGACTGTCTGAAATTCCGAGGCTTTGGTTGGCCGAAAGCAAGCAAGAAGAAGAAGAAAAAAAAGGGAGGCAAGCGTAAAAAGAAAAAATAGACAAAAAACTCTTCTGACAGTGCCCTTAGAACAAACTGGAGTTAAAACATTACTAAATACAAGAGACAAAGATTTACAAGTTCTTCCATAACTTTATTATAAGCTTGAGAATAAGGAGAATATTCATGCAAAATTGTGCAACACAACACAAGAGCAAATGCCTGGTTAAGTTTTCATTTTAAAATAACCCCAAAAAAAGATGAAGGAAAAAGAACGATGGAAGTGCAAAGACCATAGTGCACCATAAACAAGGTGAGTCGACATTGCCTTGTCAAATACTAGTTACAAGGTGATCCCTTTGGTGACATGTAACAGATTTAAAATCTGTGAACAATATTAACTGTATTGTACAAAAATAGTCTAAAATATATATTTTTTGGCTTATTTAGTGAAAGAAAATCATCAAAGAAACTCATTTAGGCACTGACATTCCTATACAATGTTTTCTTTGTACACTGATTATACAATAAATGTAAAATAAATAGTTTCTCTTCAGAAAACAGTCAAGTCAGTTCATGGTTTACTCTGATGGCTTCTTCCTGTCCTCCACGTCTTTCTTGAAAGCTTCAATTTTCTTGTAGATGTTGGGAACCTGTGAGAGAAACGGCAACCTAATCAGCCTGGTGAGAAAAATCATGTATTGATCGTCAAGGACAAATCTGTGAACAAACCCAGACCGCCTGTCATGATTTGAAATGTCACAGTCTTTGATCCTTTGAAAGGAACCAGGCGATGAAACACGTGACCAGTGACCAGTCAGATCAATTAAAACAAAACATTATCGTTTGACCTCAACACTAGGTACTGAAGTTTTTCATTTGCAGTGGATGGCAGCCACGGAAGTCACGAAAGAGTTCTGAATATAATAATGTTTATTCCAAAGAGTTCTGAATATAATAATGTTTATGAATTAAAAAACAACAACAAATCGGCTGAAAAACAAAGCATCAACACTAGCTGTAAACACAATTGGTTTCAGACGTAACAAACTTACATCATAGTTCTGGGCCAGATACATCCCCACGACATTCCCCAAAGTAAAGCCAGCCTGGAAAAAAAGAAAGGGTTTACGATGGAGAAAATGTTTGACCTTGGGTAATTGGTCATATTGTTATTTTTACATTAAAACTACGAGTAAACACCGTAAAAAACTTGTCGATGATGAGAGTCTACCAACGCGCTAAGCTAGCTTCGCTAAAGTCCTTATCGTTTCGACAATTGTCATATTCTAAATTTTGACGTCAGTTGAACTCACCAGAAACTGTAACATGATGAGTTGAGTGGATCAGTACCTTCGTCGGGAAAATACCCTAAAATTTGTTTTAAAAGATCAGCAAAGCTCAACTGGTCAAAACACAACGAAGATGCGAAGCTACAAAAAAAGATAAGATTTGACAGCCGCAATACTACTTGTACGCATGTGCGAGAATTCCACTATCGCGATACCTTTTAGAGACGCTCTGTTTGTAGTACTGTTTCTCAGTGTAATCTATGATCCTCTTCCGCAGAAAGACTACAACACCCATAACCTCCCAGCCTCCTCTACCTCAAGTGGGTGTTTCTGCAATGGTGGTATCGGCAAGACATTGAATGACTTTGGCTCCATCACGAAAAAGGCTGGTTTATTCATTTTTATTCAGTTGACGCTGTGATGGAGGCGCTTATTCCAGTTATAAACAAGCTCCAGGATGTGTTCAACACCGTGGGGACTGATATCATTCAGCTGCCGCAGATAGCGGTAGTAGGCACACAGGTACGCCGCTGTGATTGTGTTTATTTTTTGATTTAGCGAGTGATATGCTAACTGTATAACCTTAATGCACAAAAGTGAGACGTATTGTTGAATATTAAGTAGCTGTGAAGTCTTCTCTACCGCATAATAAATTCTGGCCATAACATTAAATAAACCAAAAAAACGTAGGAAAGGTTTTGGACCCAGGAGGAAGTGCTAACATTCATGCATATTCAGCTTCATTAGCAAAGCGTGCACCGACACCAGCAGTGGTTTCTATTTTGATACAACTTCCAATCGTTGCTATTTTGAGACCCTCAGACATACTGACCTCCATATGCCAAACCAGACAAGTTCTTGTGGAATACACAAGAATGTTTGGACCTTGTTGGCTCCATCTCTGGTCCATTATGGTGTGGGTCTAAAAATCAACCTCTGCTTTGTCACTGTACTCACTGTATGTATGTTCTTTGTCAACAGAGCAGTGGAAAAAGCTCAGTGCTGGAGAGTCTGGTCGGCAGAGACTTGCTACCCAGGGGGACCGGCGTCGTCACCAGGCGACCTCTCATCCTCCAGCTGGTCCACGTAGATCCTGGAGATGCCAGAAAGAATGATGATGGTGGTGGGTACAGTGCCTGCATCTGAGACACTAGCACACTGAAAAAAGATAATATAACTGTATCAAGACACTGATATAGATTTCTGCAAATCAAACTCTTGATGTGAACCTTCAGGATTAGTTCACTGACCATTGGCATGTCATTTCTCCATCCTCTCTGCTTTCTTTCGAGTTTTTTTTTTTTTACCAGGGACTGTCGTCCCTGGTAAAAAAAGTCCCTGGGTCTGAGTGTGTATAGTTATTATAATTTCTTCTTGCATCCACACCTGTGCCACAACGCTCTTGTTTACTCCTGTCTTCATGTGGTCCACTCACCCTGTCACTTATGACGAGTTTTTTTTTTTTTACCAGGGACTGTCGTCCCTGGTATGAGTTTTTTTTTTTTACCAGGGACGACAGTCCCTGGTAAAAATGTGTGGTCCACTCACCCTGTCACTTATGATCTTGGTACTGTGCCAGTTCTCTCCTGCCCCATATGTTAATTTCTCCTCTGGTCTGTGCCATTTCATTCCCTCTACAGGACCCTAAAACTATTTACAGGTTTTGTAAATTACTGTGACATCGGACTCATTGTGTAATTTACTAATTGAAGAAACCATTACGTCTTTGCTTACAGTGAGGAATGTCCGATTATATCGGCTGACCGATAATGTCTGCTCGATATCAGCATAATTATGAAAAAGAAAAGTTATCTTTTTTTTTCTTACTATAATGAAAACCTTTAAACGTAATGCCTGGGTTTCGCCAAATAAATATGGCTGCATATTAGAGTGAAAGTGAATTATTGTCACTTATGCACACCACACCACTGCACACAATGGTATATGTTCTCTGCCCTTAACCCACAATCTGCTCACCATAGTGAGCAGATGCGATCAACTTCCGTAACCACTTGGCCACTACTGCCCCACTGTATTGATATCAGATATTAAGTGTTTAGACAATAACGGCATATCGGATGTCGATGAAGTTAATATCGAACGTCGCCAGTTACAGTATATAATTTCTGTGCTTGAAATGCATGATTATAAACTTGCTGTATTTCATTAAATACGAATAATAAGATATAGAAAGTGAAACTGTCTTTGTAACTGTTTTTTTAACCATTTCCAGATGCCAGGTTGTGAGAAAGCACTGTGCTTCACAGAGGTGCACTGTACTGTTGTCCACACCTTTACATAACCTGCGTAGTCTGTTAGTTTTGCAGCTACACGCTCTGTTCCTATTGTCTTCTTCCCCGTGGTTGTCTTGTGTCTTGGTTTATCTTGTGTTGCTGTTTTTATTAGTCTCCTGCTTAGAGACGTACAACTCTTACAATTCTACGAGCTGAGTCATTACCGTGACAAATACCATTCTGGTCTAATTCACAGGGCGAGAAGGGGAGGAGTGGGGCAAGTTCCTGCACACGAAAAATAAGGTAAGGGTTCGTGCTTTGTCAGGTGACTACAGCATCAGAGTTTGTCTCTTGACCTGACCAGAGAATTTATTTTCTTTATTTCTTATAGATCTACTCAGACTTTGATGAAATCAGACAGGAAATTGAAGCTGAGACAGAACGAGTATCAGGAACCAATAAGGTAAGAGTGATATCAGAGATGTGTCAATAAATGAGCACCTCAACTGTTTTGAGTTGCAAACATTTCATTAATAAAACTTGTGGCCTTTTTGCATTTAAACAGTAGCTTTTTAAAATACGTTTCGATGTGCTACCGACATTAGTAGGTGTGCAAAGTGGACAATGAACTAGGATTAAGTTTTGTTGACACACCTTTGAGCAGCGCTGTCATGGAGGTGACTTAGCAGCAGGGGGCGTGGTCGCACTGTGAAATTTTGGCAGGGCGACAGCACGGTCGTGAAGAAAGCTGAAGAATATTATTGCACACTGTTCTCCAGGCGCCGAGTGCTGGTTCCACCGAGGAGTCTCTGAAGGAATCATTTTATATACGTCTAAGATTGAACATAAGGACTTAATTTTAAAGTTGACCTTAGTCGAGGAAGCTTTCAAATGTCGTTTATCAAACTATACACTACAGTGAAGGAGGAGAAGACTCGTGTTGTTATGGGCACCAGGTAACTGGGACAGGTTTGAAGAAGCTTCTGGAAAGTGGAAAGTGCAAACAAAATTAAATACGTTATTTACATTCACAGCATACGGGTAACCTTTGAAGCTCGTCAGTGTGAGGAAAGTGCTTGCGCTTAAAAAAAAACCCAACAAAAAACGGTGACCTAAAAAATTCTTTACTATGAGCTTTTATATGCCGCTGCTGAACTGACTGTCAGGTTCAATGGGAGAAACACTCGCGTCACTTGTATTTTCTGTCCGCTGCTATTTACATATTTATTCGTTCTTCACTGTGGGTCATCGTAGCTGTGGTTAAATCACAGTTGCAGTTTCATCAGCTTTTTGTTACGGGCTGCAGAACAACCATTTGCAAAAACCTGCGACCAAAACTGACAAATCACAGACCCTTGTCATTGGTTAGACAGAATAGCAAGTAGCCAATGGTGTTAGGCAACAGCATATAGTATTAGTATGTAGTATATACGTTCAATTTTAGGACAATTGTGGCCCATGAGTCAAAAAGTTTGCCCACACCTGGTATATACTAACATACTATGCCTTTAGTATTATTGTCTGTTATTGTTATCTAAAGAAGTATAGTACTGGTATATTTAGTGAAGCAATGCAGTTATAATGTTATTTTGTTTTCTTGGTAGGGCATTAGTGATGAGCCCATTCATCTGAAGATTTTCTCTCCTCACGTCGTCAACCTCACATTGGTGGATCTGCCAGGAATCACAAAGGTAACGAAGGGCTGTTTGTTCAACTTCATCTTCCCCTTTATGCGCATTGATCAGTTCTACATCTCTTCTTTTTTTTCTTTTTTTACAAGATGCCTCAGCTGGTTAAAAATCACATCATCACATTTGTCTGGTCACCGGTGTCACACCACATGTGGCTAATGCTGTAATGTTTTAAATATTAGCAGACCATAGGGAATAATTAGCTCTGGCTTAATATTTCTAAATCGTGTGCTGTCAAAGTGCAGGTGGAGTCAGGCTTTGATTCCAGGCTTATTAGTTTCTTCCCTCCGGTGCAACATGTTGGCTTTAAAAAGCGCCCACTGTGATTTCTATTGAATCAAAGTTAGACTCTCTGTGTCTTTGTTTTTTTTTTTCTCATTATTGACATCCCTGTGTCCAGTTGCCCGTCGGGGATCAGCCCAAGGACATCGAGCTCCAAATCAGAGATCTAATCCTGAAGCACATCTCCAACCCTAACTGCATCATCCTGGCCGTCACTGCTGCGAACACAGACATGGCCACCTCCGAGGCTCTGAAGGTGGCCAGAGAGGTTGACCCTGATGGTACAAAAGAACGCTCGACATCTGTCACCGTTAAAATGTAATACTCTAAGAATTTAAAGTAAGTGACTATTTCGTTTAACTCTCCACCAGGAAGGAGGACACTGGCTGTGGTGACCAAGCTGGACCTGATGGACGCTGGTACCGATGCCATGGATGTGTTGATGGGCAGAGTTATACCAGTCAAGCTCGGCCTTATTGGAGTTGTCAACAGGTCTGGACAGTTATCATTACATTTATATATTTGTGTCTATATATGTAAATATGTATATATGTGTATATATGTATATACATTATATATGTTAGTATATTTGTGTAAATATTTATATGTATATATACTGTCTGGATGGATATATGTGTATAGTATATACATATGTAGTATATGTCTATATATGTATATTTATGGATATATGTGTATATATACATATATAGTATATGTCTATATATGTATATTTATATTTACTGTGTAAGTATATGTGAATATATACAATGTGAATATATACAAAAGATATATGCTTGTGTGTGTATATTTATATATGTGTATCTATATATATTCACTATTAATTACTCATGAATGGAGAAAGGAGTGGAGTGAGATCAATATAGATTGAAGTGTTTGACAATACATTTTTAATACGCTGCTAAATGCACCTGTATCATCGTCTGTTGTCTTGACTCATGATTGTTAATATAGAGTGGACTCAACTGGTAATATTACAAACCATGTTTGATTGTCAGACTCCAATGCTGATGTGAGCCGTAATAGAAGACTGTATTCTATTCTAAGTAATGGTGTTGAATTCAACCCACAGGAGCCAACTGGACATCAACAATAAAAAGTCTGTGGCGGAATCCATTCGCGACGAACATGCTTTTTTGCAGAAGAAATATCCGTCTCTCGCCAACAGAAATGGAACCAAATACCTGGCAAGGACTCTGAACAGGTAAGTAATACACTGACAACGTATGAATGTACGTTTTTCTTCTTTTTTCCCTTCACGTTGAAGCTGAGCTGTTAAACTGGCAACTGTTCCTTCAGATGCACACCCTCCAGTTGATGGCACATTGTAGCAAAAGCTTCTTTCCAGTTTTTCTGCCTATAAACTGGTTGAGTAGCAGTCAGGCAGACAGAAATGACCAGAAATAACCTTTACTGTTACTGCTTAACCTTTACTAACCAAATTAGTGGGAGAAAAAAAAGTACTTAAATACTGTTACAGCTACCTTAAATAAACCAAATTAGTGGGAGAAAAAAAAGTAAAATCTGTGATGCCTTCACTGTCCTGGGAAAATACTTTTTAATATTGGACTCCATCACTGCAGGCACTTCATCTATCACTGTGTGCAGTGACTGATGGCAATTATTTTTGCTTATCGGTTTCAGAATAATTAAAGAGGAGAAAGTGAACATTAGTCGAGTCAGTCTGATTTCATCGTAGACGAATATAAATGTTCTCAAAATGCACCTGGTTTTAGTTTAGTTTTTATTCTCTATAATGACATTTTTAATGTTTATAATAGCATACAAGTCAGTACTGTCTGAATAAAAGGCAGTAGCGTAAAAGTAGACAAAAATAGTACCTTAAACCTCACAAACAAAACCTGCTGGGAAAAAACCCCAAAACTCACTCAGCTGGAATTGCTTAAAACTAAAAAGGTTACATAATGTTGTTTTCTATGTAAATAAGTAAAGATTAAAATCTGGGATATTTATATATTTATTTTGAATGTTAAAAAAACCCCTCTGTTTATCAGAATTTGAATATTTTTAAGTGAAATAGCCAACATGTAGCACAATTGTCAGATTAGTTTAGGTCTGGATCTATTGGGAGATTTAGAAATTGTTCATTTTATTTAGAAGTTAATTTAATTTAATTTGCCTAGAAAATAAAAATAAAAAAACCAAGAGAATTAAAAACTAAAATGTCGCAGCAAGTTAGATGTGAATCACTTATACCGTATGTCAGCAACAGGAAGTTGAATGTCAGGAGGAGGCCAACATTCATCATGTTCAGAGGAGAAGCTATTGTTTGTCATTTAAACAATCGGAATCCTGTGCCCTTTGCTGTGCTAATGTCAGGCTACTGATGCATCACATCCGTGACTGTCTGCCTGAGCTGAAGACACGGATCAACGTCCTGGCTGCTCAGTACCAGTCCCTGCTCAGCAGCTACGGTGAACCCGTGGAGGACCAGAGCGCCACCTTGCTCCAGCTCATCACCAAGTTTGCCACAGAGTACTGCAACACCATCGAGGGCACGGCCAAGTACATCGAGACTGCAGAGCTGTAAGTACTGCTGTCGTTCCCCTCCTTTGGCCACATGGCGGTGCTGTTGATCCAGCGCAGTGTTTGCAGCAAAAAAACAAATGCCTTGGTTTCATCACTTGGTATGACACAACTTGTAAGTTGGGGCACGCACGGCGTCTGTGCAGGAAAAGCTGACAGGGGAGGAGAGAGGCTTCACTCCACAGCTAATATCTCCCCCTGCTGTTATTTTTCAGGTGCGGCGGAGCCCGAATTTGTTACATATTCCACGAGACTTTTGGCAGAACGCTGGAGTCTGTGGATCCTCTGGGAGGACTCAGCACCATAGACATACTCACAGCCATAAGGAACGCAACAGTGAGTGCTGCTGCATTGCCTCATAAAAAAAAGTAGCATCATTAGTGTCACTGCAGTTTCTCCTCTCATTATCATCAGCAGCTGAAAAACAATAAAACAGTGACCTTTCTCTGAAAGACAACACATCCCAGTTCTTTTTTTTTGTGCTATTTTAACACATCCTTCCCCGGCTTCCTTTTTTTTCTTTTTTTTCTTTTTTTAACTGTGTGCTATTTTAACACATCCTTCCCCGGGGTTAATGATGAACACTAACCCACGGCCCCCTCCTCTCACCACCTCAGGGCCCACGTCCTTCGCTGTTTGTGCCTGAGGTTTCCTTCGAGCTGTTGGTAAAGAAACAGGTGAAACGCCTGGAGGAGCCCAGCTTGCGCTGTGTGGAGCTGGTCCACGAGGAGATGCAGAGGATCATCCAGCACTGCAGCAACTACAGCACACAGGTGAGCAGCCCTGCTTCCATATCCTGAGACAGGAAGAGAAGGAAGGTGGGTATTTATATGGAGCCAGAGCTGCTGTCTGAATATAAAGAATGTATTTACACTATGTTGTCAAAATAAAGCCCTGAGAACTGTAAAAGTGTATCAAGACATATGTTACGTGTGTGTATATATATATATATTATATATGTATATATATATAATAAATATGTATATATATAATATATATATATATAATAAATATGTATATATATATATATTATATATGTATATATATATACATATATAATATATATATATATATTATATATGTATATATTATATATATATATATACAGTATATATATAATATATATATATATATTATATATGTATATATTATATATATATATATTATATATGTATATATATATAATAAATATGTATATATATAATATATACATATATAATATATATATATATAAATATAATAAATGTGTTCTGGGACGTAATGGGCTGTGAATGCCATGATATGTATATATGTATGTATATATTAGTATAGGTATATTTGTGCATGTTTGTCTGTATGTATATCTGTGTATATTTACGTACACATGTTTAAATCTACATGTATGTGTGTATATTTAAGTATAAATGTGCATATATGTGTGTATATATACACTTTGATATATATACTTAATATATATTTCAGTTCCTGTACTCTAAAACAGTGGTTCTCAAACTGTGGTAGGTACACGAGCAGTCTCTAGTGGTATGCAGGGAAAATTCATATTTTCACATTTACATTTTCAATAGAATAAATCTGAAACATACCATGAACAATTAATACAACATTCAAACATAAACATCTTTATAAACATTTATAAACATCTCCCCTGTGTGGTGGAAGCTAACAGTAAAGGCCTACGCTGCTGTATTCTAATGTTGATCATCATGGTGGTACTCAGAGAGATCAAGGTTTTCTCAGGTGGTACAGAGTATGAAAAAGTTTGAGAACCACTGAACTAGAATACAGCAAAAGAACTAACGATCTTCAACCATAAATATATTCACATTCTGCCTTATATATTAAGATTCAGATTATTGTCTTCTGCCGAGAGTTCGTTCTCATTTTCTTAAGATGTCAACGATGTTAACTTTAGATCATTAACAAAATTGAATTATAAACTCTCAGCTGCATTTGAAGTATTTTTTTCTTCCCATTAAGGAGTTGCAGAGGTTCCCTAAGCTACATGAAGCTATCGTGGAAGTGGTCACTTCACTACTGAGGAAGAGGCTACCCATCACCAACGAGATGGTAACCCTGAGTGATACGAGTGTCCGTATCAACTACTACATTTCTGTGTTGCCAGAAAATAAACAACTCCCCCTCATGTCTCGTTACAGGTTCATAACTTGGTCGCTATCGAGCTGGCCTACATCAACACCAAACACCCCGACTTTGCAGATGCCTGCGGTGTCATGAATAACAACATAGAGGTGTGTATTCAATATTAAAATATGGAGAATTGTAGAAATATGGTCGTAGATAAACAAACACCAAGTACAGGAGACAGATATAATAAAAAAATTCTATTATTTTTTATCTATTTCAGAGACTGTAAAATAAAGTTGTATATTTTATTATTCACAAGAAATCACATTATTAATGATATAAAATAATTATTTATATTTTGTATTTTACATAATATTTTTAAGGCTAAGTGATTTAGTTTTTTTAAAACAATATTTTGGTTTAAAATGTTAAAATTCAGTCAGATATACATATACATGTAATGACAGAGTCAATCACTGTAAGAATTATTACCGCTAAATATTGGTGTTGCTTAAAAGATAACACAGCTAATAGATGTTTGTTGCTAAAGGTTTTAGATGACAGGAAAGACACAGATTTAATAATCTAAAAAAAAAAAGTTTTCTTTTGCAGTTTTTGGATTTTGCCTCTCAGGGTCCGTCAGCCGTCAGTCAGACTACACCACAGGTCAAGGGAGTTCACTTGTATTTACCATAGGGAGGACAGCACTACGTTCATTTGCATTCTATGTTTTTAGGGCTGTTAGAATTATTGAATTAATTGTGTTAAATTATTTTTTGAATTAATGAGACTAAAATTTAACCCACGGCAAGTGTAGTTCTCCACTTTTGTTGCTGTAATACACAAACAGTACACAACCAGTACACAACCAGTACACAACCAGTACACATGATGTTATTTAAAAACATTGTAGAGAAAGAATATTTTATATAACTTAAGTACCTTGAACTTTATATACCGTCTACTCCTCAGCATCAAATCCAATATATCTATGTTGCTAAATTCTTACTTTTAAGTATTTTTCTTGACAATTTTCAATATTAATTATTTATTAATTATAGGTGTGAAACACAAAGTTTCACCTGATATTTGCGTTTCTGCATTTCTGTAATTATAATCAATACTCATGAATAATCCCAATGAATCCCCAGCTACTTAAATGATCCATTGAATTGTTTGACAGCTCTAGTTTTATTTAATCTGATACCACACTGTACTTTCACTGTGTCCCTGAGATGTTTAAACCAACATCTGCCCCATCATCTGCTTTTGTCAATTTGTAGGAACAGAGGAGAAACAGAATGAGAGAACTGCCCACAGCGGTGCCCAGGGACAAGGTAAAAGCCAAAAAAAGAAACGGTCAAATCCGACTCTGACATGTTCTCTGTGTGGAGTAGAAAGAAAACTCGTGCAGCGTTAGTCATTTGTAGCACTGCAGAGTGAGGATCAAAAATAATTTTGAGAGTTTTGAGTTTCCACCCAGGAATTCATCCCACATCGTCACTTTTTTTTTTTTAACCCTTTCAGCTTCCCCTCTCCTCAAATGCCTTTGCACACAGTCCCCCTGTTATATATATATATATATATTTTTTCTCTTACTCTCCTTTCATTTCTGCCCTCATACTCCTGCTAGTCTGTTGGCAAAGGCGCAGCAGGTTCAACTGTGGTTTCTGGCGAGCCCCATGCGTCTGGAGCAGACACGGACGGTGCCAAGGTGGGCACGGACGCAGCTCGCTGGCTGCGTGCCTGGCTGGCTGTGGGGCTGCTGCTGGTGGAAGGGCATGGATGGATACATGGATGAATAAATGAATGGACGGGCATGAGCTGCTGGCATGCTCTCTGATCTTTGTCTGCTGAAGCCGTGCCCTTATATTGCTTTCCCTCAGTCTGTGTGGACGTGCATTAACAACTCACATTTCCTGCAGAACGCCTTTAGCCCAAAGCTGCTCCTGCTGTCTCTCAGAAATGACTATCCACCTTCTCTGTAGCTCTTTTCTGACCTTAAACACAGTCGTGGGTCTTGTGCCTAAAGCCTTAGACTTCTAGAATGTTCCGTAGACGCCTGTGTGACTTTTGTTGTTGCATATGCAGTTCAGTTTCTTTTCTCAATAACTCAATACCCAGAATGGTTGTTACACTGCCTGGAAATTCTATAAATATTAATATGTAAAGTTTAGTTACTTATACCATCACCAGACAGGAGAAAGGATTTTTTTTAATTTTCCTATTAACAAACTTAATTACATTTGCAAAACAAAAAAAATAACTTACAATAAGAGTCATCCATCAATCTGTCATACATCGATTGCCATTGGGTCTATTGATATGGAGCTAATTTAAGGAACAAAAGACAAATTAAACTACTTTTATCTATAGATGAGTAGGTTAATGTGGTATCATTAATTAATCGTTAGTGAGAATTTATTTATTATTCACTGCGTTAATGTAGTTTTATATTTTCTACTAATATGTATATATGCGTATATTGTATATATATATTTATATGTATATATCTTTATATATGTTTATACATGTGTATATGTATGTGTGTGTATATACATATATGTATGTATTTATGTATATATATGGATTTTATATAAATATGAACATACATATTGGTAGAAAATATACTGCATTAATGTATATATATTCAATCCATGCCTAATGTTATCGAGGGACTTAGAAGAAATATTTTCTCTTCTGCTTCAACAGCTTTTTAAAACAGTACAATGATCAACGATTACAAACCAGCATCAGTATAAATATGTCAATAACCATTGCTGTTGATGAACTTCCATAACTGACCTGCAGTTTTTCGCATTTGTCCCAAGCTTTTTGGATATTGGGTTTGGGTCTTTTACTAACCACATATTTGTAGTGAAGTGAGAAGATGCTGGGAGATGAGATTTGGGCCAAGTTTGTGTGGTTAAAATTGTCTCCCTTTGTTTCCTTTTCTGTTCTTGGCTCCTCAGGCCACGGCAGCAGGAACTCAGGGTGAGCAGGACAGTACAGGCAACTGGAGGGGAATGCTGAAGAAAGGAGAGGACGCCCCGGGCTCTGGACCTGGAAGCCCCCTGAAAGGAGCTGTCAACCTTCTTGACGTGGTAACTAAACTTTAGCCTTCAGCCTTCCCTTGTGTTTATGTCTTCCAGTCACAAAATGCTTTTAAACACTTTCTCCTCTTTTTGCCCCTCCAGCCTGTGCCTGTTGCCAGGAAGCTGTCGTCACGTGAGCAGCGGGACTGTGAGGTCATTGAACGCCTCATCAAATCCTACTTCCTCATCGTCCGTAAGAACATTCAAGACAGGTAGAACATCACGAAAACTACTTCTGGTGTCGCGGCATCATAACAGTTTGTTTCTGTTAATGCGCCAATGAACTAGTGTATTTTCTAGAGGCGTAAGGAAATATTGATACATTGAAATGTCGTGATATTTAGTTTCACGTTTCCATATTGATATTCTATAATGATGTATTGATTTTTTTATTAACAATTAACAGTCAAATATTCACGGCGTTAGTGTGTTTTCTTTTTCTTTTTTGTTCTTCTGTAGTGATTGCAAATGTACATCCCTCAGGTCCAATTTCAGTAACCTGCTGTGAAGCATGTTACAGCAATTTGTGTTTACTATACTGGGTTCTCATACAATTCTCATACCTATATTGTTGCAATATATCAGTGTTTCCCAAACTTTTTTTCTGGGGACCCATATTTTAAAAGTCACAAACTTTCGCAACCCAAGTCAATAGACATTATTCGTAAACTCCTCGGAAACATGATGCGAGACGACCAAAAAAACAAAACGAACTCTTCCGACCCACCTGAGGGTCGCGACCCAGTCTTTGGGAAACAATGCAATATATTGTATTGTTAGTGTATCGTGGTGCGTATCATGTCCTCAGATTCTTCACAATTGTTTTAACATTTTTGTGTTGTTTGCAGAAACACTCCAGATTTAAGTGTGAATTGTCGTTTCCTCCAAGTATTCAAACAAAAATGTATTTACCTTGCTTCAAACCCTGCATTAGCTTCATGCTTCCTTTGTGTGCCTGTTTAGAAACACTTAAAAAAAGAAAGAAACATTTGAAAATAAGTACGTGTTTCTTCAACTTCATGTCTGACAGATGCATTTATGACTTCATGCTCCACCACGACAGATATCATCAGCTTGTGGTTCACACTTGAGCTCCTTCATCAAGAGGACAAAAACGGTCACCGGACCGTCACCTCGTCTCGTTCTCAGCCATCTGTTCACTCCGTCTCCTCTCTCATTTATCTGCTGCAGTGTGCCAAAGGCAGTGATGCACTTCCTGGTCAACCATGTGAAGGACAGCCTCCAGAGTGAGCTCGTCGGCCAGCTTTATAAATCTGGCCTCCTCAACGACCTGCTGACCGAGTCGGAGGACATGGCCCAGCGGCGCAAGGAGTCAGCGGACATGCTACAGGTGAGACTCCCAAATCTTTCTCTCGTAGTTCTTTCTCTCTTAAATTCCCACTATTAATTATTTTACATTTGTTTCTTAATCCTTTCACACAGGCGTTACAGAGAGCCAGCCAAGTGATCGCAGAGATCCGGGAAACTCATATGTGGTGAAAAATTTCCAAAGAGAACCAAATCCGTTATCACCTCGTCATGCCCATTGGAGCCACGCCCCACGCTCCCATGTTTAAACCTGAACTTTAGAATTTGCAACCAGAAGACATGCGCTCATTCTGATCCCCGCTCATAAATATTTTAGGCCTGCCTTGGTCCTAAACGCTACCTGAAAGTAATGGAAATTGACTAAAGCTGTTGAACAGGACTGCTGGGTCCTGAATCGAGTCTTTAGGTGCGCACATCTCGCTTCAGCGGGGTTCACTGTACGACTTTAGAAAATGCTGTTGCCTCCCGCCGCATTTGAATGAATCACAAGTGGCGCAGAAGGCAAGTTACCTTTTTTTTTTTTTTAAATAACCAGTCTGACAAATAATTTTCTGTGACATTAGAAATCAAAGTTTTGGATACCATTGTAGCAACAAAGCAATCTGAAAAACGGCTCTAGGGTAATATAAATCAAAAATAATATTCCGTCCCTCTTCTGCAGCCTTCTCTTTGGGGAGGAGCTGTCATGTGTCGGAAAGCGTTCAGCCTCAGATGTCAGAGTGTAACAATACAGCAGGGAATGGATCATAGAAATAATAGACTCTCCTCCTGACTTTCAGCACACATTAGTCCTGTACATACTCGGTACTTTATTATTATTATTATTATTTTTTGCACTGTTGTCACCACACTGGACTGTATAGAGGCCATCATTGTGACACTGTATTGCTAAAACTGTATTTATTAATGTAATTTAAGTGTGTGCGGTTCATGTTCTGAGCCTCCATACAGTGTGCTGGGACAGGTTGTTTATGTTTACATGTTATCATGCACTGTGGTTCTGTGGA